CAAATGGATGAAGCAGTAGCCATCCGGATGAACAAACCTGAGCTATGCGTACTAAAGAAATATCTTCAACTGCTTCTCCTCCCCTGGCCAACCTCAAGGTCAATTAATCAATAGTAATCTTAGCTATTGAGTGACCTTCGAATGATCTTTATTCACAAATCCTTGTATTATTATTACTGTTGGTTAAACATCATTATTAATCTCCCGATTAGATGATTCATTTACTTCTTACTGATCATTTTTTACACAAGATAGTCTCCCATTAAACATTTGATTGAATTGTAATTGCACTATTATTTCTCTCACCTTATCTGACCCGTATTTATTCTGATTATGGATCATAAATTTCCACTTAACATAGATTCAGATTTATGTTAACATTCTATCTGAGTCATATCAGCATTAACAATTTTATTCTTTATTTTTGTTTAACAATCCTAAATTCACATGCTTTAACTTTAAACGATGCACTTTGCCCATAACCTGACTATAATTTGGATATATAATTGTAGAACCTCAAAAGAATTTGTCGAAAAGAATACTCTTCGTTGAAATATTAATCTGTTATTAGGTTAATCTTAAGCTAACCAGATGTGTAAGCTTTAATAAACTAGGAAAGTAGTTTGTGAATTATATTTAAGAGATTTTGTTAATTAATATCTAAGAATATTCTGAAAAAAAACTTTTCAAGAAGCTAAGGAATAAAGAAGGAACGAATCGAGCAAAGAAATTTCTTTTCAATTAGTTTTTAGCTATGGCTTTTCACTAATATAAATATGTATGATTTACAATAATGAAGTAATACTCATCGAATGCATAGGTTACGTAATATCTTCATAATGACATTTTGATTATAAATTAACACTGAGTAATTGGAAGAAAGAGGATTGATAATAATCAAATTATTCGGAAATCAAGAAGTTGCTTCATTACATAATATATGAAAAAGAGAAGGAACAGAATATTTTGATGAATGGTCAGTAGAATAGTAGTTATGTAAGAATCAAGAGATGAATGTTGAGAATAAGTAAAATACAAAGTTCAAAAAACAACATGGAAGAAGCACGAAAATAGTTTATCAATTTTCTGTTACAAACGCCCGTATACCGATGGCCAAGGTAGCGAAAGTGGTTGTACAAACTTCTCTTGGATGCAAAGGTTAGGTTTATGAACATGCTGTCATACCTCTATAGTCAGCAGTACTACTTCACCCTCGGATCTTGATTTGCTGCTTCTAGACTTACTGCTCTTCAACCGACATGTCTGGCATTTTTCAGCATTTTCAGCTAAAGAATACTTCAAACTAATTTTGGATAACCGTTGTATTTGGAAATTTTCTAATGAAGTTTTGAAGCTGATGCATGAATTTTTATTTTAACTAATTATTTAAGCTCTTAAATTTATACCAGTTCCAAATTCAATAACTTCAAACCCATTAGGAATAATTTTCCCACCAACTAAATTTTAACAATCAAATAACCTTAGAAATAGATCTCATGTCACATTTTTGTTTCCTGATTTTATTCAGGAATCATAAGTCATGGATTTACGAGAGTTTAAACCTGAATGAAGAATTTAGCGTCACAAATGTTCAGTGAATCTGATTTAACAAATGGTAAATTTTATAAGAAAATAAACTGCTCATCTTTAGATACTTAGTAAATTATACTTAGATATTGACTTTTAAAATTACAAAAAATAAAAGATGACTACTTACACAATATTTAAGTGGTTTGAAGTAAAATAAAAAAACCCGTAAAAGCCTGTCTGAAAATGTCGAGTAAAAAATTATCCTTATTGATTTCCCCAAGTATATTGATTAATGAAAATGCGATAGTATGATTATGAAAATTCGTATATAATTCCATGGGGAATTCTTCAAAGCTAAGAAAGAATGAAGGTTTAAGCAGTTACTTTACTCACAAATAATTCATATGACAGAATATAAGATTTGTTAATTCAATAATATACACAAAACAGCAAGGTAAACGTCCATTGGAAGTTTATGTATAAGTCGACCATCTAAATATTATAAAATTAAACATTAGTAAAGATGATAGCTTGATGGATTTCAGGAATCTGAAGAACGAACTCTATAAAAATAGAAAAATTGTACTTAAAGACAGATATCGACGTACTGCTCCAAACCTGTCTAGGAGAATCCACATAGCCTGTAAACTTTCATAATAATGGTCAAAGGCATATTTAATACATCTGTACCAATAAGGTCGTTGAGAAATTTAGACATAAAACGTCGAGAGATGTTCAGGAATCCTTCGAAAACAATTTTCTATCAGAATTGATGATAATACATTTTGTTCCTGTATAGACAGAAAAGGTATTATTCATGGTATCTGCGAACTCATAGAGAGCAATTCTACAAATACAATAGAGCATATCTACAGATAGGAAGCGTTTTTGAATTCTTAAAGTTTCCAAGGTCACGCAAAAATACTTGATGTGATCTTCAGTGTTTGTCGTTTATTTTCCTGTCGAAATCATTTTCGAACTTAATTTACTTTGACTCTGTGTCCACATTAGAATGTCTGTAAAATTTGTACGGGAAAAATTGTCATACACAATCTTCAAGTTTTTCTGGCATCTTGTTTAGGAATCTACCTTTTATTCATTCTATCTAATCTGGATCCCAGTTTCTTGTTTTTCAGATTTACTCAAGAATAACATTTTACATAAACTTACCGTTTTAAGTTTTGTGTCCTTGTTTTACATTTACACTCAAATTTAGTGACTTTCTGTAGGAATTATCTTATCTCAAGTAGTTCAGTTGTACATTCTGACACAGATTGTGTGTACATAAGAAGTACGTTTTGTCCCTACAATTACCATCCCCCTAAAAAATCACTATTATTATTTTATTTCGTATTTGAAAGCATTCCCCCCCCTTTAATTAATTCTCATATCCCCATGATTTTAATCAAAACTGTTTCTAACATCACTTCATTTGATTTTGATTATGAATACAGTGGTCTTGAGTGCTGTTACAGGTATGAGGGTAGTTTGCACTTCCCGGTTGCTCACACCGTGGAAGGGTTCTTCTAGAGGTGTCTGAAAAGGAAATAGGATTAGAGGTGGTCTTAATGACCTGAGAGAGTGACCGAAGTGCTCAAGAAACAAATGCTTGAGGTCGGTTACACACGACCTTCTTGTGGGCAATTTTCGTGTTAGCTCCGTACTTGTTGGGACCTTACCACCGGAGACGGAAATCCGTGGAATAAGGCAAGGTGTACATTTTTAGGGTCGGCCTTTTCTAACCCCACCCTTCCTTGTGGGAAGGCAGCACCGCTGTTATGCTGGTTGTTTGAGAGAAATACCTTACTGCCGTCACACCTCTATACAGTCAGCAGTACTACTTCACCCTCGGATCTTGATTTGCTGCTTCTAGTCTTACTGCTTTTCAACCTTTAATTATTATGACCAGAAAATTCTAATTATCTTACGCCATTCTATTGGTAACTTATTAATTTTGTAAGGCTTTTTATTTATACGCAAACAGTTGTATTGTTACTACTTATACTACATAATCTAGCATAATAAGTTTTCGATGACATCAAACTAATTCACTGTTCATATGTTCTCACGTAATCATTACTTAAAATTTGATAATAAATTCTCAGGAAAGAGATCCCTTACATGAACTTCGTGTTTTGAATGTTTAAATGGAAATTATATGTCTAAATAAGTAGAGGAGATATATGATGGTCACAATCGATAAAAACGAGTCAATTATATCTAAGTTAAAAGCCCACCAACTAAAACTCACTTTGTTCTCGGAACGACTGCATTTTGTTAAATATATCAATTAAACAATTGCACGATTTTCTATAAACGTGACTAAGTTCCGATGGATTCATTTGTTGTGCTCTTTAATCACTATTCAATATGCACCAATTTTCACCGCCTACCTTTCTCTAATAAGGCTTCATTGTTTTACGTCCTTGAAATGATTTTATCAATTTACAGTTTAGGATCAGATTAATGTTTTACAACACCATTTACCTGCTTTGACTTTCGTTAAACTATGACTGTGTTTGACAGAGACGGGTTTATAAAATGTATCCGTAACGCAATTAAATCCAACATAAATACGTATGTGTGTTGCACAAACGGATTTCGAGAGGTATTTTCACCATTTTTTATTATATCAGGCTACATTTTATCTCAGTTTATTTTAAGTCTATACACATTGTTGGATCAAAATGATAACAGTATGACGAAGATACGAAAACTAACTAATACTACTACTTATGAGTAGCTGGACAAAAATTTCGTCACTTTAATAGATTGCCGTAATAAACATCAACAAATTAGTCTATCCAGTAGTTTCTTAATACTATCTACTTTAAGAAGTTAAACTTGACTCCGAAAATGCCGAATCGAAAAGAGTAGAAGACTATAAATCCAAAATATCAACTATTATTATTTGTTCATTTATGTGTAAGTTATTTAGAAAAAAAAACATAGCAGCACTAACCGTTATTGTGAAAATTGTTTTGTTAATGATGGCTTATGTAAAGTTCTTATTCACAAAAAAGGAAGGAAAATGGATCATACGAACACGATCAGTGCATATTTTCAGAATAAAGTCATATCTATCTTGTTTGTTCGATTGTTACATTCATAATTACACTTAAGTTATTTGACATATTTATTTAAGTGATAATTTTAAAAATTGTTGTGCAACTCACAAATACACACACATATACACACAAGAAACATATATATGTATACTGTACACGTACTCAACAAGTACAATATGTATATGCATAACTAGGTCTGAAAAAGATTCTCAATAATAATCGTAAGTGACAGAAAAAACTGAAGTAGCGAAAACAGTAAACTGTGGACAGGGGGAAGGTTAGGAAAGAGAATATGAATTGCCTGTCTAATTTACACATATTTAGTCCACTATTGTTAGACATAATGTCCATATGATAACGTAGCTAAGGACATGGATATATATATATATATATATATATATATATATATATATATATATATATATAAATGAATTAACGTGTAGTAAACAAAAGAAAAAAAATTAGCATGTAAACATGGAAGAAGTAGATTTATAGAAATAAAGAAATATACAGGTAAACATCTCTGGGGAAGTATGAAATATAGTAGGAATCACAATTACGGTCACCAGACAACAACAGTGACAAGAATACAAGTAACATCAAGAGTTGTGTTTTTAAAAGAATCCAGTAATATTAAAAATCAAAAGGTGAAGTAAATCAATAAGATTTAATGAACGTAGCTCAAATTTCAATATTTTTCAGATGGTAGTTTTGAAGGGAAGTGGACAATATTGACGGCCTTCTAATAATTGTTATAAAAGAATGATGATTGTTAATTATTTTCGTAGTAGTTGTTTTGAGAAAACGAAGAAAAAAAAAGAGATGAAAAACACAGACTGACAAACAGAACTACATACTAAACCAATAAACAACAATAAGAGAAATATCATCTCGCAATTATTTTCTTTTCATTTGAAAAAGCAATAAACATAATCAGAAAGTGTAATGACGGAGGAGGTTATGTCAATGGTAAAATCGAGGAGTGAGAAAATACAGAATAAGTAGCTGTTATACAATAGTAGTCATAATAGTAATTGTAGTAGTAATTTACATAATCAATAGTTTTATTTGTTCAATTGTGAGAATGTAAAGTATGAAAAGAAGAGAAAAAGAAAGAAGTGAGTTACAGTGAGAAATTATGGTTAACTGAATATTTATACAGAAAATTATGATAAACCTAATTAATATTAGATTGAATAAAATGTTACACTTTCTTTAAACTTCTCTACATTAGTTCAGAGATCACTGTTACTGTTGATAATGATAATGTGAGGTTGCTTTTCTTATATTTTTTTTACAAAGAAATGAACAAATGAAAGGAAACAATGAGGATTATAGTATTTCTGTTCAAATTGGTGGTTCATAAAACTCTTAGTTAACAATCTTGGCATATATAAAGTAGAAATTTTGTAAGAAGATATTTTACAAGATATCAGCAGTGATGGAACAGAAAGAAGAATCAATCAACATTCAGTTTTCACTACTGTACATACTACACACATGTAAATGTATATGCATATACATAGTGAGGCAAACTCGTAAACGCATATACTTTTATTACAATCATGATTCTGTGTTTTAACTAATTAAAAATAAACTATTGGGAATGAGCTGAAGATATGGACTTTCCTCTCTTTCTCTCAATGAACCGGTGATAATAATAAATCTTAGAGAAAATTAAATAAACAGAAATAAGTGTTTTAGGGAATGCCAAAAAGTAATAAAATAAACAAATTGGGAAAGAAATAAACACATATACAAACATATAATGAAAAATGAAAGACAGGATAGATCAGAAGTACAGAAAGTTTCTTTCATAAACTAATTAACTTATTAATGATAGTACCCATATTAGTTTTATTAAGACATTTTTTAAAAAAAAGTATACACAGAAACTAAATTGTACATATTATTATTATTGTTAGTTGAATGAGATGTACACATATAAATGTATACCTCAAAACATCTAAATACTGAACATATACGTTACTGATAAAGAAATCCGAATAATCATAGATATATGTGCGCATACACCCAAATACACGAAATCATACAAATACGAATACAGAAAAATAGTTTTATAAACAATAGGCAGGATTAAACTTCATATTCACAAATAGACACACACACATACAGTTTACATTGGTAAACATACACATACACAAACACATTTGAAATTTGTATAAACATTGACATGCAGATTCTGTATGCAAATATTTCTGATATAAATAGATGATAGAGATTAAGAGAATAGATGCATAGATTGTTGTTAGGCACAATAATTTAGTGAGATCATATTGAAAGCACTTTTTGAGCAAAATTCATTTTACATATACAGTCATAGAAAAGAAGAGAGATTGAGTATATGTTGTACAATTGAATTGCTTCATTACTTTGAACACACACATATATACATACATACATACATGTACACCAATATAAACAACAGTAAACAATAATTAAAATTATTTCAAATATCACTATGAATTTAATAGTAATTGCTAGAAAAAAAACAAAGAGCAAATGTTATCAGTAATGATGTGATCTGTAGAATTGGAAAATTTGAAACAATCACATAAGAATTTAATTCAAATATTCATTTTTCTTTTTTACAACACATCACATTAAACTTTCTCGTCAATTTGTTGTGAATTATTATCAACACAACTACTACTTGATGCATTATAAATAACTTGATTATCATTTAAATGACAAACAGCTACTCGTCTTTGATTAGGATTAGTTAATTCACAATTATTATTATTATTATTATTATTATTATTTGGATGATAAGGATTAGTAATTTTCATTGAAACTCTTTCATTCGATTCAACAGCAGATTTTGATTGTTGTAAATATTGTTGAGGATCATAATGATGATGGTCAGTACCAACTAAACTGACATTATCATTATTATTATTATTATTATTATTATTATGATTAATGATATTACTACAGTCTAAGATAGATTGTGAATTAAATGCTGGCGATGCAGGTGAGCTGTGCGATTTACGTCTAATTGAATTATCAACAACAGTTTCTTTATTAATAATCATAGCAAGATGATTGGATGGAGGAGAGGTTAACTGTGGATTACATACATGTTCTGGTGATTGAGTAAAATCAGAGTTTCCTTTATGTGTTAATGCACCGGCAGGTATTGGACCTGTAACACCTTCGTATGTTCCACCAACTATTTGTGCACCAGGAGGAATAGGATCAACAATATAACAATCTTCACCATGTAACCAATACGTTTTTTGACGACCTTTACCCTATACACATGAATATTATTAGGAAAAAATATATTTATGAATTAAAACAATGTGAAGAATAGAATATTGGTAATATAAGTGTATTAAGCTATTTGAAATGATTATACACTTTACAAGATATTTATTAGTAAATAGTATCAAGGAATCAATGATCTAAGTACTGTAATGTTTATTTTACCACGATCGATAACCACAGAGATCAATTTTGATGCCTATAACAGTTGATTGTACTGAAGAACACCAGTTCATGTCTTAGACATGTAAAGAGAAAACCAAACACAAGTGATAGGATTCGAAAAATGTTACATTCTATTAATTATTACCAGCAGCAACATGTTTCCAAGCTCTAACGATGAATATCGATAGATACAGGAGACAAGAGGAGATTGAAGAGTAAAGAATTATTGTTTGTGTTGTTTAGTTTTCATTTTCAACAATGATTAATGAGTTTATTACTTTAAAGATTATACCTTGTGGTTTAATAATATATATTTAGTAAATTAATTGATTGTTCTTGTGCGCTAATTCCATTAATAAGTTCTGAATTTAGCAAGGTGGATCAGTCAATCATCCTAGGAAATGAGCAGTTCAATTAGCTGAATCACTGTAGTAATTTTGAGAATCGCAAAACATTTAACATGCAAAAGATGTGCGAGAATATATATGTAAACATTAGACAACAAAACCATTGGATGCCAGCTCAATGATCTAGAAGTTAATCATTCGCGCGAGATAAAAGGTCTTGGGTTCGAGTCCCGCGTGCGGGATCGTAGATGCGAGCCGCTGACGAATCGCATACTAGGACGGAACGACCATCCAATGATACCAGGTTTTAAATGGTGGTCTAAAACTAATCGGATTGTTGTTTGAATGAAACCCAACAATATCCACAACCCCATGATGAAAAAAAATATAAATATATATAGAGAGACTAAAATTTATTGAACAATCAATGTACTCACTTTCATTTCAACTAAACCACGTTCAGTCATAATAAATGATTTAAATGTTTTCAATACATCAAATGTTTGTTGACTGATATGAATTTTTAAGGCTATAAAATGTTTACAGAAGCAGCAAAACAAAAACGAATGATAAAAAAATTTAAAGAGGGTTGAAATTTTGTCATATACTAATTGTATTTAGAGCCATAGAAATAGTAGACAATAAAGATTAATTAAGAGACAGATACTGGTAAACTTCAACAGAAATACTACAGTTCTTGACATTTGCTCTTGAAGACATTTTAAACATATTTTGAAATAATTACGATTTTTAATTCTTGTCAAAGACTTTCTTGTTGTAATCCTATACTCTGCACATTTGATGCTGAGAATGGTTCACTGTAAACAAATTTCTGTTACCATTACTATTATTTTCAGAGGGCGAAAGAAAAGAGAATCGGAAGGGAACAAAAAGAGAATGAATAAACTGATTTAATCAAATTCTATGGGGGAAAATGAACCTTTACAAGTTAACTAATGTTGTAAATAACAAGACAATGGTGAATAAATAAATGTATTTAGTCATTATGATTCACAGTACACGCCATACAATCCTTATTGAATAAAGAAGGAATATTTAATCGAGTGATAATACTGATAATCATGTACACACGCTAACCCAACCCATCTTGATTTGTTTTATGATAAGAACGGTAATAATAATGATGATTTGAAGAATTCCTTCGATTTATTGTCTTTTCAACCTTTCTATCAAAGAATATACCAAACTTTCGATTTCATATTATCAGTTGAAAAGTGTGAGGTTATCCATTCCTTTTCAGTATTTAATAGAAGTGTAATATGGAGCATGTTCGAGGATTTTTTTCTTTCATTCATAGGGTGAATACTGCATTTTAGAGCATAATTTTCACTACGGATTTTATTTCAGTCACCTAAAGTTATACATATATGTCTTTTATGAATACCTCACTGTAGTGCATCACAACTTTCAGGATGGAAGAAAAAACAAATAACAGGGAAGTTAAAACTTGGAATGAAATCTTCAGTAAAAGTTATTTATTTATATTCATTAATCAATCAATAGGTGAACAGAAAAAAGCTCCTGATAATATTAATATTTCACCTTATTAAATATTGGAAAAAGTATACATAACCTCTCCTGTTGAAAAGCTGATCCCTACTCCCATGAGACCTTTAAACTAAAATTCACTGACCAAATTACTTAATTAGTTTCATATCTAAATAGTAATGACATGTAAAATAACTACTTCAGTCAAAACAGTATCTGTCTATTGTGACACAGAGGTTAGTGAAGATTAATCGAATTCGGAGATCTTGAGTTTCACAATGTATTTATGACTGGCGATCTGCTAAAAAATATCTGACTGGCTTACAATGTTTCTCTGTGGATGATAACAGACCGTGTTGAAAAATACCTTTTAGTTATGTAAAAATATCCAACCCAAGTAGACTGACTTACTGTTCACTATTGTGTCTACCTGTTTATGATACCTATCTTCTAATGGAGTCAATGAATTATATTATTATTATAATTACTATCTTAAAGGATGATTAAAACTTTTTCTTTGATGAAGGAAATAAACTTACGTAAACCATTACTTTCCATTCGTGAAGAAGTATTCACTGTATCACCAAATAGGCAATAGCGTGGCATTTTTTGTCCAACAACTCCAGCACATACTGGACCTGAATACACATAAACACAGATAAAGAAAACAACGATATTAACAAAAAGAAAACTATCAAAGAGGATAAATTAACAGAGTGAAATACACAAGTTATGAGTAGCAGTAACTAATGATTAATCATTTAATAGATTACCATAAAAACAGTTGACAATTCACGAATAATAAATGTGGATGGATAGACTGATGCATTCATGAAACTATTCTAATAGTATTTAGGATCAACTATAAACTCTGCAGCAAACTAGTTAAGACATGAATTTTAAGATGGAATGTACTTTAGGAAACAAACTGCCTAAAGATGAAACTATTTGCATAAATAATAAATTAATGATCTATTTTTAATATTCCCACAGTGTAAGACATTGATCACTCACTCTACAATCACCATTAAGCTGAATGACATAACGGTAGTATGATCAGATTTGCTTGCTTTTACTATTTAAATGTGTTGATCTGAATTAATGATTTATTTTCTGAAGGAACGACGACTCATATTGTCAAAGTCCGAAATTCAGTTTTCCACTCACCGAATGTACCAAAAATACGCTATTGTAAACAGTTCATTCAATATTTAATTTGAGATTATTAAGGAAAACAATCGGTATTAATATTTATTTGGATATAAAACCATTGAAAACTTTGTAGGATTGAACAACTCGTCTCTCTCATAGTTTATCACTGCTCAACATTGTGCACACAAAATCTAACACCGAACGAATCTAAACCTATTTTACATTCGTGTTTTGAGAATAACTATCTCCAATGCTACCTTAATTTTTGTAATTCTTCATCTGATATGTCGTTTTGTAGAGAAAACTGACAAGTCTACAAAACTCTATTTCGTATAGAGATATCCCAAAATAGAGAATAACATCAAATAAGACTAACACATAAAGCACACGACATATTTATAATTTAACCTGATATTATCGATCTATTACTTAAGAAATTTATAAAATTCCAAACTACAAAACAAAAACTAATTAAGCCTAACCGATGATGGACAATATTGTTTGGAAATCAAAATGAAGATTCTATGGATTTTTACAATAATCTTTGAAAAAACACAGCATCTACACAACAATCCATTACTATTACTAGTAATAAGAAGAAGGAAAAAAGAAAGTTTTATTAACGAAACAATGAGTATTGTTTTTTAATCTATTGCAACATATTATAGAATAAAAACACAAGTTACCAACTAGAAAAACAAAACTACTGTATTGTTTAGTATTTGAAAGGAAGATATAATTTTAGAGGTTGATTAGTCCCCTAAAAGTCACTTTTCAAACAGTTACATTGTTTCACTACAACCACACTCAGGGAATGATCATAAATGTATGTATGTAAAATATAGTGAACAGTAAAAACTAACTTATCACTTACCTGAATGTATACCAATCCTTAATTCTAAACGTTTCTCAGGTCGATGAGGAATTTGAAATTCAAAAATAGCTTTCAAAAATGCAATAGACATACGGGCTACCTCACGTGCATGTTTGTTACCATTACGTTGTGGCAAGCCGGAAGCAACCATATACGCATCACCAATTGTTTCAACTTTATATGCATCGAAATTTTCAATTATTCCATCGAATAATGTATATAATCGATTTAACAATTCTACAACCTATTCAGTGAAATAATCATTTATGTATATAGAATAAATTTCTGTGTAAATAAGATTAATAATATATATACGCATAATATCAATATTACGATTAGTAGTAACCACATTAACAGTGAATGTAAAGCAAAATTTGGTCTTGACATTGGTTGTTTATCGAAAGGTGACTTTCATCAACTTCTATGCTTGTAAGTAGTGACTACATAGGTCTGTATCCAGAGTCGTTTAAGTTTAATTTTATTTAGTGTATTATAGATATATCTTATTAGAAAAGGCTTATCGACGTATGGTTTGAAAAATATATTATAATGACAATCCACTAAGATAGCCAATTACACTATACTCATTGGTCGATAAATTTCAATAAGACTGCCAACGAAAGAAATTATCTACTTTCTTTTAATCGCTTGGAGATAAATAGACTCAAACTAAAAGTAAGTGTAAGTAACGAAATAAAAAAGGCAAGAAACGTGTTATTAAAGTATTTGTAACAGACGTAAGAAAATATTTTAAGTTGTAATGGTAACACAGTGCTCTATTAACAGGTTCATGATGTTTCCCACTTTGTATATGTTTCATAACTCTGGTAAAATAACCACACAAATGTGAGGTTTTATACTATAAGTTATTTGATATAATGAGCTAAATTAATGACTGCAAGTTAAATATTTCATAGAATAGATCTAACAAATAATTGTACATTGGAAATAACCGAACTAGAGAAAAGCTAAACTATAAGCCGATGGGCTTAAGTATTTTACACTTTAGAACCTTACTACTAAAAAGTAGTGACAAAATATGCTTCAAAAAATCAACTCGATTTCTATCTAGTCATCAAACAAGCATTTTGTTCTAAAAAAACAACGTTGACAATGTATTTATCCTTTGCAATTAGGGACCTTTCAAATGAAAAACCTGAATGCAATCAAAGTGAAAATACAAAAATGCATGATTAACAAAAAGAAGAATACAAATGCCTCTGAAAAAATTTGTTAAAAATAAGAGAATTAGAATTTTAGCTTTTCTTGAAGAATCTATAGAGCTCGCTAAATATTGTACACCCTAAACAATAAAGAAAATAGGCATGTGAATGAAATAGACAATTGGTAGAGATTAATGACTAGTCAACAACCATTTACTCGTTAATTTTTTCCTATACACTAATCGTTACAGTGTCATTTTGATCTAATCTTAAATTTCTTTTGTTAGAAAACCAAAGTCAGGGTCGAAAAATTTCATAACAGTTTACAAAGCGGTGAACCATGTTTTAGTCATAATTTAACGCATAATTTATGATATTATTCTGTCTAGCACGAGATACCATGATAATAACACTGGTGACGAAGTTTATAATACCGCTAGATTGGATACTCGAATGGTGCTCCACACACAAAATAGATCACGTTTTATCAGATACCCAATCCACGACCAAAAACAGACAGCCATTACAAGCAGTCACTATCAGTGAGTCCGAAGTAGAAATCAATAAGAGGAAAAGAAATCGCATTTGGTAGTCAATATGCTGAGTCACTATTTGTTCATACGCCTCGTTAATTTCACTTATCATTTGTTTTATGCCTCTTCATTCTTATGCTAATGCGAAAAAGATTCTTCATTAGTTTCTAAACAACAATTTTAAATTATATTAAAAAGGCAAGGAACTCACAAAAAAATTGGAAAGAAAAACAAAAACAAATAATTAAATATTCCAAAACGTAGTGAACTGAATGAGAAAATATGTAAACATGCACAGTAATTATTATTTGCTTGCTGTCTTGTTTTATTTTTAATCACATAAAACGAATTAAACAATAACGATAATTATAGACGTTATTTTTACAATCCGAACATCAGAATTCAAGTTTTATCATTGCATTTTTATTAGTACAGGGTTGCAGAAATTGTTGAGTTTCACTAAAATAATGAACCGATCAATGTTATACCACCCTGTCAGACATTAACACCGTTGAATGTCGGCTCAGTGGTCTGGAAGTTAACTGTTTGCGTGCGAGAATGAAGGTCCTGGTTACGATTCCCGCATGCAACGCCATGGTGCACACTGATGAGGTGCCACATGACCATCCAGTGATACCAGATTTTCAATGGTAGTCCAGCATTGGTTGGTTTACGATTATGAAACACTACACTTTTATTGACTGAATAATATTCTGTTTTAACCTTTAAGTAATCTTGAAAATTCATAGTGAATAAAACTACTGACTATTGAATGTCAGTACTGCGTAAAAACACATTTATCAACTAACCATAACATATTCAACATTTTTACGTTTATCAAGATAAGGGATTCATCATAAGTTGACGCATCAACTAAAGATGATAAGTGAGAACCAGGATGCATTAGAAAGTTATTTCATTAGAGTTTTGAAATTTATTACGAGTCCACAAACATGGTTCTAAAACAGGGATTTAACTCATAGGAAATAAAGATCTCTTGAATAACACAATGTCGCACATAAAATGCCAAGTTGAAATCGATTTATCTAAATATTTTTACGACTTCAGTTAGTTAGTGATATAAAACGTGATAATAATCTAATGAATATATATATATATATTCTCGTGATAATTAATGGAACGCCCGATCGATAGAATTCGGTCAATACTAAGGAGGACTTGCCATACATCATATTAGCCACTGCTCAATGATCAGTCAATTTTACGTACATCTCAGACCTACAGGAGGTTATACGTGGCTCAAGCTTTTCTGTAGACTCAGTCCGACGACCACTTAACAAAACCTTCCCTGTGTTCAAATAATTTGCACTCTACATTCCCTTTCTTATAATTTGCACAGAGAATATGGAAATATTCAGTAGTATTGAAGACAAAGAAGTTAGTTTACCACAAATATTCCAACAGTTCTATGTTTAGTCTTATTTATTATTATCATTATTATTACCACAGTTAGATGTCTTGGAACCTAATGTTTATCTGGAAAGTAAGATTATCTATCAACAACTGTAGAACACTTTCAGTAAACGAAATAATAAACATCAAAGCACAAAGCAGCTGACGGTATATGACTAAATACTAATCAGATTGATTTACAATGATGTACATACATACACACATACATATATAAGTATTTCAGGTTAGTGTCACCATCATTTACATTACGGTAATTCATACGTTCGTGTGAAGAGGAGAGTGGATTATTGATTAATTGAAAAAGAATTATCATAAATTAAACACATAATATTTAGATTTGAAATTTTTGAACAAAAACACAACAACAACACATAAAATAAGTGAATATTTTACAAACCTGCATTGGTGTAGATTCCGCTGAAAGAGAAGTGAATCCAACAATATCACTAAAATAAATGGTGACCATTTCAAAGCTTTCTGCAGTTACTGGTTGATTACGGAATAATTGTTTGGCTACAGATCTAAAAAAAATTATTGGAGAAAAGAAAATACATGAACAACAGGGTCTCTAGAACTGATTTTATTTGTGTAAAAAATTCCGGCGGGACTATAAATTACGGACGAACCAATCAGATTTAAGATGGAAGCTCTTAGGTTTCGGATGGAAATTCATTCATACATATGGCCAAATAGAATTTTGGGATTATAGCTGATGTCATACTAGAATAAATCAACTGTCCAGTGTATCTCGATTCTTAATGGTTGTTGAAATAGGATCAATACGAGATATAAACCATGGAAAGAAGATATCATTCCATCATCATAAACAACATCGCTTACCTTGGTAACATAGAATATAATAAATCTTCTGTTTTCTTTTTCTCTTCTAAATACTGAGCTGTACGTTGTTCAACTAATTCTTCTAAATTATTCGCATATTGTTCCATACGAGAGAGTAAATTGTCCAAAACATTATTACTATCTCCTGCTCTATAAATAATTTACAAAGATTGTGTTTATGTGTGATAAATACTTTTACAATCAAAATAAATATATACATAGCCAATTGATATGAAATATTATAACTACATTCGTAACTATTTTTTGAGAAATGAAACGATGATTATTATCTAACAATTTGGAATACAGATAAGTGTTAGTAAGGGCTGGAGTAGATAATATTACAATACAATTTTACCTTCAAAAACAAGTAGATACAGAGTATCATATCATCGTCATCAACAATTTTTTGTAATATTACTTATTCAGAAACACTGTTAAACTTAGCATAAATACGTATCCGTTTTATTGAAATCAGCACATTAGAAGAGGAAACTACTGAGATAAAAAGCAAAGCAGATGAAATGATAATAACAATGATAGAAAATTAAGTAAAGAGCATATCGTTCTAAAAGAACTAACGAAACATATGAAGCGATATTAACATTCAAAGTCTGGAAAAAGAAAAACAGATAATGCATCTGTGCCAGTGCAATCGATCTACAGTTATATCACTGCCTAGTGTTTTCAGTAATAAATTTCGATTATTAATAAACAAACTCTAAATAGGAAGACCAAATCTTTCTATATAGCTCAGTCTAACAGTCATCATACTACAGAGGAATTTGTAGAGATTTGTGCTGTCACGAATTTATTGAAGTTGAATATGTAAACTATTGGGTGGCAACTTAGCGGTTTACAAGTCAGAAATTTTGTGAAAGAGTTATAGGCCCTGGATTCGACCCTCAGTGGGGTCGTGGATATGCAACGCTGAGTCCCATACCTGGATAAAAGCTATACAGTGCATCCTGATTATCCGACTAAGTTTAATCTCGGAACCATCCTACTAGTGCTATGTCCGATCGTCACTAATTATTTTTCAATATACTCGTAAATAAACCTGTCTAAAACGTCAGGGTTGGTGGTGCTTGTGTAAGCGCATAACTTATGTTCAAATAATGTTTTGCAGCTCCATCAAGTGACTTGTCATTACCACCTGAAAACTTACACATAACGTATTCAGTATTACTCACTTGATAGTCCAACCATATATATGAGCAGTGCCACCAAGATATCTATAATCACTCCTTCACTTATATTAATGTATATAGACAACTATGGACCTGAGTTGGACAGGGAAATCATCGAAACTCTGGACAGGAGCATAGTGAAAACCAGAGAACTTCTAGAAACCTTACACTCCGGTCACTCATCAATGAACAGATGTAGAAACTGGCACAATTCATCAACCAATGGAGAAAAGAATAATCAACTTAAAGGTCAGAAATCAAGTTAGAGAAGTATGCAGTTAAAGCAAATAAACAAACAACGTCCATACAGTCATAGACAAAAACCAAGCAAATTCCAACTGAACAAAATAAACTATTAATTAATTGTGGAGAAATTCTAAAACATCACTCCTTTTTCATTGTGAGCTAATGATTTTGTTCAGAGAGATAATGAGAGCTTCATAACAAAATCATCCTAGTTCAAAAAATAAGACACTCCCAAAAGATATTACATATGTATGGCATTTTCCAGTGTTTATTGATTATTTTGTAAATGGTGTTCTCGTGAATAGTGAAAGACAATGGAAGATGGTCGCGCAATTTCGTAAATTGGTTGAGGTTAGACATTAACACCGCTGGGTGCCGGCTAAGTGGTCAAGTAGGTTAACCGTTCGCGCGCGAGACTGAAGGCTCCTCGAGCGGAATCATGGATGCGCACTGCTAAGGAGTCCCACAATAGGACGAAACGACCGTCTAGTGCTCCCAGGTTTTCAATGGTGGTCTAATATCAATCGGTTCAAGATCTCACTCAATAACTTAATAATGAGAGTGACAGTTAAATTTGAAAACAATTTGTTAAAATGTCATCTAGTTGATTAGGTTTAATGTTGACATAAAAAGTAAACCTGCCTATCGATACATAATGTATGTTGTCAATATTAATGACAGTGGTAAAGTAATTATTTTTATATTATATTGTAACAATATACTGTAACAATATTCATGCATAGAATTCTTTTCGTTTTTATATAAAAAAAACAAATAAGAAACCATAATTTAATAAGGATATATTCTTTTTAAAGATCAGAAGAAAATCTATATGGCTTAGATTATTCGTTATGGTGATAAGAGCGTTAATTTGAAAACAATAAATTTCCATTTATATAATTGTAAATGAACAAACCGTATAGGAGTAGACATTTACATTGTAACCTCTCGTTCATATTTTTTTCTTCAAAAAATAATGGTTCCCTGATAATATCGACAATTTCAGTCAAACAGTTAATGGTTAATGCTTTTCTTATTCAGTTATACTTTTCCTACTCAAATCAAGTTCCTTGATCTATTTTTTTATATCTCTTATTAAATATGGAATAGATCAATAATGAAAGCTGTAATTCTTATCGTTCACTTTTTTCCTTCCTTTCAATCTACAATAATTCACCAGATAATCACATATAAATAAAAGAATAAATTAGAGAGGGAAGAAATTGAAGACATGAAAATGAGAGAGATCACACAGTAATAAACTAAAGTACAATACCATTTAGAAAAGCAACAGTCAATAATCTACAGGCACACACACATGCACATCAATAATGTTAACTAATAGAAATTATCATGATAGACTAAATGATCAAGTCGTTCAATTGCGAATTGTTATAAACATTGTACATAATATCAAAATGTATGTATATTATTTAATAATAAGTGAATGTTAGCTAAAATTTGACGTTTGTTGACAAAAGAGATTTACTATCAAGAATCTATGTTAACTCAAGAATTTTTGCAGTAACTAATAGTTTTCAATGTGATTTATACTGCATTAATCAATTAATTAATTTATTTCTTCTTCCTTTGATTAGTTTCGTTAGTAAAACCAAGATTTCTATGGAAACGATAATCCTGTATGTAACAAACTGATATTATCTTATAAAAATATACTTGACTCAAGAATTCATTAGATTTAATGATTTAAGTCTTAGAAAAATATATCATTGATTTTCACTAACACTATGATGAAATAAAATAAAAATATTTTATTATTAAGCATCAGTAATTGTTTCAAAATATGATCTCATTTAATCATTATTGAATAACATCAATCTGTACTTAAGACAATTTTTAAACTAATCATTTTTTCACAGTTGAAATTGCAAGCTGATTTAAGCTACACAACCATTAAAAATCTGGAAGAACTAGACTGCCGTTTCGTCCTAATATGTGACCCTTCGGCTGCGAACATTCGCGACCTCGCGAGTGGGAATCGGGCCCAGGACCTCTGGTCTCACGTGAGAATACTTACCATCTACACCGCTGAGCCGGCATCCAATGGTGCTAGTGTTTAAGTTCAATCAATCCATGATCTTGCTCACTTCTTCATACACTGCCTGAGGTGGGTATCTATTTCACACCCGTGAAGGATTGGATTCTACTGGACACAGCTTAGATCGGCTCGTGATTTCAACGGCAAAAATACTACGATCTCTACAAATTTCCACACTGGCGATAACCCTTTGGTACAATGGTTCGAAGTTTAGTTGCATTTCAAGTACTCTCTAAGTGGTCATAGTTTGATTATTATTCTATATCCTCTACGTTCTGACATAAGATCATAAACATGTCATCAACAGATAAGAGGGATTTATCAACGCTAACTTTTATATTAAGTCATCATGCCCATTTTAAATCAAATCCTCATAACAATTACAGAAGAATAACGTGAATAGATCGCATTATAAACCTACCCATAAACTGCGATCTATCCAACTTAATTAATCTCCAGTCGATAAAAGTTACTATCTAGTGGGATACCTAAGGTAGTGATTATGAAACTCTATTCCCATATGTGCTAAGCGGTTAGAAGTGGTTAGTGATTCCAAATGGTTACATGTGTGTTAAAGACACTAATGTTCGGTCAGAGAAATCAATCGATTGTTGATATTGTCTTGAAACACCAGTTCGGACGATCTAAATACGTGTTAACTATATTATTTGTCAAAAGTATAGAGACAGTCAGTTTATGTATGACATGGTGTCATGAAAATGAACAATATTTCATTTGGTGCTTGCTCGTAAAAATGTACGAAAAATATTCGTGTTATTAACAAAATATTTGTAATCCGAGGTAATTTATTCATAGTCATGTTCTCTTAGTATGGATCTCTTGCAATACAAAGTATTGATATTTTCATTACGTTATTAAAGAATTCTCTTAGTTTATCAATGATTTATTTTATCGTTCGATTGACATTTATAATTATTATTTGATTCATGTATTCGGTTCCGCAAACAATCTTTCGTTATTGAAAATTATATATAAACTCAATTGGAAGTGTTATTTCATAGATAACAATAATAATAGATCACATGGGGGAGAATTTAATATGATGAAACATTCATATATTTAATTACACATATATACACTCTACACCAAAGAAACTTTTTAATTTAAACTTCCCATAGTCTATCGAACACAAACATATACACTGATAACAATTTGAAGTGAGATTTTACAACAAATCAATAAGGATTTATTTATATTGTTATTTTTATTGTTGATATAAAATGAAGTCATTTTTCTTCTCATTCTTTTAATCCGTTTAAAGTGGTGTTTGATAGAATATAGGTACGATGGCAGCGAAATCCGACTGAAAGCCTTTACGTGGCACTGCTGATTAATGAGGGAAACTTTGTTGGCTAATTTGGGAGGTTCTCAAAGACCAGCCTTCTCCACCACTTTGCTGTAAACTAGATGGCACGGGTTCCAACTCAGTGCTCATTAAATCTTGCTGGCTGGCCGATATGCATGCTTATGTATATGAACTACATAAGTTTTGGCTTATGTAGTTTGTGTATGTAGGTATATGCAAAAGATACGAACATGGATATGAAAATGTCTACCCTATGTCTAATGGAATCAACGACTTGATCCTTCAGATAGAAGATGTAATTAAAAGATGTGGTAGCAAATACTAAGAAGAGGCGATCACCAATTCTCCCTGAGAGAGTGCTTATGCTCATGTATGTCCCATGGAGTGCATGAACAAAAGTCTTTGTACCAGTGGTATGCATGCGATACGTAAGAGAGTCAGTTGCAGCAAACATTTTCGAAGAGAGAGACGACTATCTATTGTCCCAGGTGGGTAGATATACCAATATGTATGATATGGGATGTATGAATGAAAATATGTATATTACTGGTATGTATGTAGACTATATTTAATCTCTGATGCGACGCCTACGGGTCAAGATCCGAGGAGTTCCAACGATTTACGCACGCAGTATCATCCACACGGCGCGTTTGCAGGCTTTGAAAACACGGAATCTAACTCCAGGAAAGCTACTCCGGCTTCACTAGATCAAGCTTCATCAACCTTATATGGCTGGAACACCGTACAGCGACATTGAAGTGATAGGTATGAGCATAATAATAACCGTTTCTCTTTCTTCCCCTCCTCGTTTCGCTTTGAAAGAGAAAAACACTAAACACCTTTTAGAAGAGAAGTCAAAGGTAGACAAGAAAGCAGCACAAACAACAAATTGTAAAGCATGAGAAATCGATAGATAGATAGATAGATACACTGATTTTTATACGCAATGTATATCATTATAATTATCATGTTAGTTTAGAAATGCATAGCTTCTTGCATATGGTATTATTAAAACGTTTTAATCTCTTTCATTTTATTTATTAAATGTTTTAAAAAAGAAAGAGTTAGCAAAAACCAAACATCTCTGTTCTGTTCATCAACCAATAAAATAGAATTTTATAAATTGGTTCATATTGGGAGGTTGAAAGCTAATAAAAAATATATTTCAAATGTTTTCAATGAGTGGCGTATGATTTCTATACAGCTTCGACAATAAAAAAAAACTGTACAATCAAAATATTCTAGTTTCAAGCCTAAAAAGTTGTGATTTCGATTAGTGATTGAAATTTCTAAAAAAACGTGTTATGCAAATAACACCTGTATATGTGAGCATCAGTAAATGAGGATAAGAAGATGTATTCTATTTTACCTATAGTGATCAAGATGTACTCCAAACAGATAAACTCAAATACTGAGGGTCGAGTATATTCAAACTGTACAAAATAGACGATTAGTAGAAATAAGCAGTCAGAAATTATTCAATTCAATACTTAGTTAACTAGGTCGAGATGTTAAAGAAATTGATATAAACAACAAAACAGCTGGCATAAATACATTTTTGTATTAGTTGTTTAAATCTTCTTATTGACTCAGTCAAATCCAGCTGGCGAGGCCAAAATAGGACGAAACGAGGGTCCTTAATTCTACCGCTAGCCACCATTCAACTCTGTTTATAAAGATGGCATAAATGATTATCAATAGAAATGATCACTTTCACATTAACACGAAGAGAAGGAACCCGGTTAGTTACTTTGTTCATTGATGAAATAAAAGAACATTTGGTGTTTAGAAAACTTCAGTCCAACTAGTGTGTAACGTTGTTAATAAGACTAAATCGTCTACAACTATGATTATGAAATAATGATGCATGAATTGTAGTTTTTCAGGTCAACAACTTGCTAAAATTATCAGTATGAATAGGTTATGGTTTTATGATTTCCAAAAATGATCAAATTGACATTGGACGACTGAAGTGTGTTACCTTTCACATCATTTTCCTAAACTGGTAAAGGTTTTCTCTAACCTCAATTTATCTTATTTCATTGAAGATAATAATAGTAGCAATATAATTGAACCATCAGACTCTAATATACGTACTGAACTGTAGATTGCACTGTTATAAGTAAACATTACTGATACTATCCAACTACTCAAACCGGAATAAGTGAAAAAGGATTACAAAGCCTTCGATTGAGTGGTTGGATGTTAAGTGTTTTCATTACAAACTCACCGATTATTGTAGTAATCATTGTTTCTCAGAAAAATTAAATAAATTTTGTAATATTCACTGATAATATTACCCTAGATCTCACTAAACCTTCCAATTATGTAACAAACCTCTAAATAAGTATTTAAGCAAAGAGATTAGATGCGAAAAATTGGAGATACACAGTATCATATGACCAAAATACAAGTAATTGCATATACAAATTATTTTCAGAAAAATAAATTAATAATATTTATAACACAATTATATGAACTAAGAATATTCTTTTCAATAATTTCTCATCAGAATCTATGTAATTGTAGAATCTGATGAGAAATTATTCAAAATAATATTCTTAGTTCATATAATTGTGTTTTAATATAATGGAAATTTTTCAGTAATAATATTTACTTGTTTAATTTTCGCATAGATAATTTAATTGATTGGAAATCTGGTCGTACACTTGGATCATCATCCCATGCTTGACAGATTAATTGAACTAAATCTTCAGAGCAACCTTCCAATGAATCCAATGTCGGTCGAAATGGTGGTTTCCTGTGTGCTTTCACTTCTTTTACAATAAACTAAGTTGAAAATGACAATAGGGAAAACGATTATATATATATATATATATATATATGCATTAATATAGATCTGTAGAGAACGAGGAACCTGTCGTTTAAATCACAAGCCGATTTTAGCTAGACCACTACTAGAAACTTGGAATTCATAGTATGGGACTCCTCAGAAGCGTGTATCTGTGATCCGAACCCAAGATCAATGGGTCCGTTGGTCTCGAGATCAGGGGTTCGTGTGCTACTCTGAAGGTCCCGAGTTCAGAGTCTTGGAAGCGCAATTCTGAAGAATCCTACACCAGGACGAAACGGAAATCGGATGCCTCCAGGCTTCCAACAGTGGTCGAGAAAAGATCAGTTAGTGACTTACACTGAAAAAATCAGTTGATCGATATAGTTCTATGAGGCTAAATAATTCATAAACAAATGGTCATATTTATGCCTTATTACAAAATCAAAACTGCATTCTTCTGTTTTTCCCACACGAGCTAAAATCAGCTGGAAATTTCAATAACTTACGTGCACTATAAATGTTCACCTTTGTATTAATGTTATGTGGTTGAAGGCTAGTGATAAAAAGCCGTTGAACTAAAGTTTGATTAGTCGACACTTATCAGCAAGAAGTATCTACAGTCCTGAACGAGCTAATGATCCCCGCGAGAATCAGATCCGTACTAGCTAGTATCACAATTAGAAACATTTTCGATACTATTCGTTCAAAATAATGAATATTTGACCTCAATCGAGACTGAAAATTAGGGGGCAACAGACAGTTGTTCGATCCCCAACAGTTAGTACCTACGACCCATCCAGATGTCAAGCTCAGGATCTTCTGGTTTTATTGTGAATGCTCAACCATTAAAACTATTGAATTGGCTTCCGAAGGTAAAACTTCAACTCCGAACAATTTGCAAAATAACGCGACAATAATCTAATGTCACTGATGGCAACTGTTTTACTACAGACATATTAGACCAGTATCCAGCAAACCCCTTTAACTAAACTATGAATATTTAAATTATGCAAAAGAGAAAATGTTAGAACAAACTACTGTGCAATCAAAACACTTATAGAAACATATTACTCATTATTCAATATCTCTTCTGTTTAATATGTGATAAATTTTTTAAAGTTTACTGATATAACCTGTGCAGGATCAATGAGAATCTACACTTTGTTACAATTAAAATCTCTTCCGTAGCATAAATCAATGTCGATGCATTGATAACTTTTAATTCTAAAAGATTAAGATGAAAAATGTGTTATTTTCAAGGGACAGTGATAGATATTTTCTCCACCTTTGGTTAGTAGACGGACATCTCACCCACACCAAAAGTGACGCAAGTTGACAAAAACCTACTGGATTTTCTAAATTCATACCGAGATTTCGTTAGATACCAACCCACTAAGTCTAATGAGACCTCTAAGTAAAATAGTTAATCATTATATTTCAAATGTCCCGAGAAAAATACATACAATTGTATATTGAACTATTTAAAAAGGAAACTATGGCGACATTAATCTTGTATGTATATATGTATTCACTTACATCTGGTTCACAATTTTTAAAATTCTGTATATAAAATACACCCTTGCGATATACAATTTCCTGACAGACAATTGCAAAGCTATAAACGTCGCCTTTTATTGATTCGCGTGGATAAATAGTTGTATCACCGTCAGGTAATAATTCTGGTGCTGTCCATAATAAGTCTATACAAATGTAATGTAAAAATAAGACCAAAATAACATTATTATTGCAAATAGAAAGAACAATTTAAGTAGAAATAAATGACTAGATTTGTAACTAGTATGAGTTGTAGATCGACATTATTTAAGGCACCAGTAAAAAACAGAGTAATGACCAGCGATTGACTGGAACTGTATATAAGAAATACTGGGTTCCAACTCATGGCTAGGTGCTCGCACTGAAATGCGAAGGTCTGGGTGTTTGACTCATAGAGGGATCGCATATGCATACTACTAGGGAATCCGTAAGAAAACATACTATTTGCAATTTTTTCGCAAATTACAACAGTAGTACTGATAGTCAGTGCTGAGAAAACTAATAACACACTATTGAAGGTTGATGACAAAAATAACAATCAACACCGTGAACTTAGTCAATCAAACACATAGTTAATATAGTAGATTGAAGTTCCACACTACTCGTTGCTATGTGATTAACATCCTCTCACCTTCCTGATTACTCATTTGTTACTTGGTAAGTAGTTCAGTTATCATATTTGATTGTATATATTTTTAAGTCACACCTTTAATTTTAAGTCTATCATCTTTTGAAATCACATCAGTTGTGGAAGTATTTGATGGAATCAGTATCGAGAACAAATTATCGTTTCAATAGTCTCAATATAATTTTTGTAAATTCATTACCATCATAACAACAATCAAATTCAGATATTCCTATTTCAACTCGTTTCAGACTCCAGATAATGATGGAATTAAACGTAAACTGATGAATGTCTGATTTTATAGATTTTGTACATATAAGCCTTTCACAGTGTGTCTATATAATAAAGACAGCAACAATAAAATAAATATTTCAATAATGTTTTTGTTATTTGTAAATGTTAATAAATAAAAAAACCGAAACAGTTAATCATTTGAACGCCCCCGAATGCCCTGGTACGGCCGAGAGTGGGGAGAGTTCACTCTCCCTCTCGAAATGCTCTCACATGGCCACGCGTATATAGCCTCTGCCAGGGAAGTCCTACTCACTGCCTTCTCGTGGCTGGGGTGTTGTTTACAAAAATGAGAGGACGAAAAGTGAATGTCCGGCGCTTTAACCGGATCCCAAACCAATGGTGCACATGGGCTCCAGTATCCTGAAGGAAAAAATGGCGTATGAACCAATCGTTGGTCACCGGCTACCGTGGGACTGCATCTCCTTACGATGCTCCACTACCTTGTGGGTCAGACCTTTAGGTCGAAGGCTCGGGGTGTGGCCCCCTAAGAAAATCACCTGCTTCGGTTCGGGAACCCGAGCAGTATCACAGCCCTCACACATATCAAATGAGATCTATGTGGCGTATATGTATTTGGTGCTTCCTTGTAATTATTTGAACATCAGTTTCGAGCCTTTCTAAATTTTCGGTCCAATTCATGTCAATTATCTTTGTACACGAACTGACTGTCATTTGTAAATAAATAATATATTTGTACTACCCCAATATGTATTATTTATTTATAACAATCAACCCAATGCACAATGTATTCGAAATTATCAAATCAAACCTTGGTATCGATACCTACTGACTGTCATTTGTCCCACCGACCAAATATACTTTCCGTTCTTCACAATATAAACACCATAGATTAATGACGTATAAACTATTTAAATAGGTCTGAGATTTATAGCTCAGGTGGATGATCTTGGTGAAGCTTTATTCTTTAAGCTGGATGGTTTAATCTTGGAACTCCCATCGTTCTTCTAAACAACATCACGGTAAACTTTAGGTAGAAGTCAAGTGTTTGGATTTTTCCACATATGACTTACAGCTCACTCAATCGAGGAAATTGTGGACAAGTATCGAATCAAAAATTAGATCAAAGGATGATACGATCAAAATAAAGAGGCAGAGAATGACAGGTTAAAGGTAAAAAAAAACCAGTCAAAGTCAAGGTCGACAGGGCAAGCTGTGAGATATGTGGAGATATTCGAATACTTCATTTCTATCTGAAGTTTGTGCTGATGTTGTTCAGGGGAACAATGAAAGCTCCACGATCAAACTGTCCGGCTCAGAGAACGAAACTCCACTAAAATGATTAGTTTTACTTAAACCTTTCATTTCTCATCATATTTAGCCACTTCAACAAGCTTATACTATATCGATCTATGAAGTCACCAAATACTGGACAGAACTATGTTGGTAGGAGTAGACGTTCTGGTTAGGGAGTCAGTGTGGCTATCGTAACTAATGGTTGGAGATATTGAGTAATATGGATCAAAATCTCTCTCAGTTTCGTAGATGTATTCACTCTATGATTTTTTCGAATCCTATCGTCTACGGCTAATCTTTTTTTACCAATATTGAACCTATTACGACTTCTACTACTGCAGGATTGATCTTGATGACTTCATCTCGCTTTACTGATATGAAATGAGGACTTGAACAGATACATATACATACCAGGTTTTACGTCGTTTTTGACTTATTGGTTGACTAACCAACTGACCGACCACCTGCCTGTTTGTCTGACTGGCTGACCGACGAGGCAAATATGTAAATAAATGAAATATTCATTTTCAGTAAATTTTCGCCATCAAGATCTACACAACTATAAATTTAATTCAAAAAAAGCCAAAAGGTATATAGTAAGTTTAAGGTAGACGTAATTCCACCGACTGAATTCAGTATCAAACTCAATAATTCAGAGAGCATCCACTGAAAAATCTATTCTCTCTATTCCAATGTCTTTGTGTTTAATCACAACAGGGGAATACGTGCAAGGAAACAGTTAAAAAGTAACAAAAGAAATAATTGAAAAACATATTTTTTTAATAATAATAGGCTCACTTCGATGAAATATAAAACTGCCAACTTCTGATTCTAATGGCGGTGGACCACGTATATGTGGTAGACCGAAGTCAGTGATTTTTAATACAAAGCGTGAGTCCACCAAACAATTGGAACTCTTCAAATTACCATGTGGACCAAATATTTGATGTAAGTACATAACACCCTTGAATGTGAGGATCAAACAATAGATAGAGAAAGACAAAACTGTATATTTTACATGCGTATATTAAATATTTATTAACACAAATTAATATTGGATTCTACTACGATAAACTGGCAAGAAAACATATATTATACAGGCTATTGACTGTAACCCAATTAAGCAATTACCTGTTTTTTTATGAAGAAGGCTGTTAGGTAGACTGATAACAACTGAGATTCAAGTTTATACTACAATGTTACAACTACTATTGCTATCACTTTGGTGTGTAGACGATGTTCTATTGATATACTGAAGCCGACTGAATTCAATTTACACACATAATCTATGGTCGATGTGAATCCAAATAACAAACACAAAACGAAGCCTATTATGTATTAGCTGTCATTTTATTGTGTCACCATTAAAACACCGCCTATTGCAGAACTAATCATTTCAAGTCAGATGAGTCAAACCAGAGTTAACGAGTAAGTAGTACGACACTAGTTAGGACTATAAAGTTGAATATCTTAAAACCATTTAGTAATCATTTATTCATTCTGTACAGAAGACAGTTTGATAGTAGTCTTCTGCCAGATTAAATTTAATGCATTCTTTAGAGAAAATTTAACCGACTAGCTTATACTACTCAGATTAGTTGAATTTAAGTAGTATATCCACTTGGCTTGAAATAATAAACCCGTCAGGAACTATTACTTTGTCAGTATTATTATTATTATTGAAACGAAAAAAGAGGGAACCATTAAAATGTGTTGAGTTATTTAATTACATACTTTGATTTTAATTTCATTTTTAGCAATAAAGAAAGAATCTAGTCAGATTTATTGATGAGGAGCAAAAAACCAAACATGATTACAGTCCTACTTTGACTAGGAAAAATTTTGACGAAACCAACTTTCCCCCCTTTTTATTTAATAAAACTAGACAATATGTAAAAAATTGAAATTAAAATTAAAATAGAATAGAAGAAAAGAGAGCAATGCTTCAAATGATAACGAACAATTAGTCTTCAATGCATATATACATATGTGGAAAGGGAAAAGGAGATTAACCAAATAAATTAAATTCACCACTGTTTATATGAAAACGTTTTAATTAGACGCCAAAATTCTAAGTTTGTTGTGCTCTTTTTCACTCCATTTTTTATTTGCGAAAAAAAGTTTACAACATAAGTAGAATTATTTGATGAATAGAAATGCAATTCATGAAAGACCTGTACTATTTTGAAATAGTACAAGAATGAATCGTTTATATTTAGTAAGTTTTAAGTGTTAAGCTTGATTAAAATTCAATTTAATAACTAAGCATAAAGATTCTAGTATTCGATAAAGAGTTACCATTTTTGCATGTATTTTTTAAAGTCGATTACATGATAATACATACACAGCTGGGTAAAGTATAACAAGTAAAATGGAGTTAGAATCTGCAAACAATTGGTTGAAAACGGAATTTTTTAACTGGTGAGTTAATGTATCACATACAACAGATCATTAATTTATACATAACGTAGGACCTGGTACATAGGTACGTCGGTTCAAATTAATTCACCATAACAATAGTATAGTGAGATGCCCGAGTGGTAATACTATTATTAATAGTAGAAAAGACTGGGTATAGATTATATGTTACAAGGTGATAACTGAAGTTTAAAAAAAGTCGAATTCATTATAAAAATTCGAGCAAATAAATTACGCATAAATCTATGTGAACTATAATAAGATTTGATGAGATAATTGTATCCTAAATTTCTGTAATAACATAATCCATTATGGAAGATTATTTATGCTAAATATTTTGTCACTTAATTTATTGTCTTATTCCAGCTAATTTACATTTTCTGTATTACCTTACCCCAGGAAAAAGCCAATAGAAAAGATTCAATACCCGAGATAATGAATTGCCAATAAGATTCATTTGATAGTTAAGTTGTATTTCTTTTTTAGTTAAAATAATAAAACACACTTGGATTGATAACTAACAAATTAAAACCAGTCATAAAATAGATTATTTTTCATACGAAACCATCAAATCAGTTGATAATTTGATCGTGATGAAAATACTTGACTTTCATCTGTAAAGTAGTACATTCAATCAGTCATTTGTCGGTCAATATTAGATATGAATTGTTCAATCTGTCAATAGTTTGCATACCGTTTCACTAGTTCTGTGTAAAAATCCTTCAGTGAAATACATACAACTTACTATTTAAATTACAGTAATCTACTGTTTTGCAATTGACACTGATAAATATGAACGACTATCGACTACTCGATTTATCCTGTTCATTTACTAATTATTTATAACAACAGTATGATACTTACTCGACAAATATCTTGCATCAAAGAAAATTTAAACATCCAATCTAATTTGATTTGTTCATTTTCCAAAACATCTTGCAAACTTCCTTTTGGACAGTATTCATAAACAATACACTGATGCGGCACTTCTAAGCATACACCAATTAATCGACAAATATGATCACAATTCAAATCTTTAACCTGAATTTATATGAGAAGTTTAAAGAAAATCAAGTATAACTAAGTAGTTAATTACTCATGAAGTTGAAATGATTCAGTAAAATTTCGAATCTGAGTAGAAAACAAACAAAATGAACATGACAACAAAGGTCAAACAATTACAGACAACAATTAATCAAATTTTAGGTTAACAGAACAAACTACTAGTCAATCGTGGAGAAATTCCATTAGAGGTTATCAATTTTACCCTATTCAATATGAAATAGAACAATGTGTTAGGTGGTCGATAGGAACCTCTTGTCTAACCTACTACCTCCAACCACATAACATCTCACTTAGAATGGAGCCCACTGAACAATTCGATAAATAGAATTCGGTTAGTACCGAACGACAAGCCAAATATGACATTGACTATTGCTACTAAATAATCCATCAATTGTATAGAATAATATATAAAGTGAACGTAAAAACAGAAGCGAATTCTTTGTATAGAAGTAGATGGCTTCCAATTAACCATATAGAATGACATTATATGTTATACAGCTTTAATATACAGTGCTTTATCAGAAATTTATTGAACAAACTGATCTTATCTAGTTGTGTAAATTTGATGTAAACATTTGTTTTTATTTCTATCATACCATTTTTTGTTTACTTTTTATATGAAAGGAATATCTTCACCCAATCAATAAAAATAATAATTTAATTGGACCATTAGGTTTCTCTCTCTAACCCAACATAATATGAAATGAAACTTAAGTTATTAGATGCAATCCATGTGTAACGATTGAATGACATCATCATTAGATAAGCGAAAAATATCTCAGGCAACATCTGGGATAAATGAAGACAGGCTATTATAAACAATTTCATAAACACAGTCACATTATTGACTTAGTGTCTCTTTAGATTAACAACGATAGTCAGTGAGGACAGATGGTTCAGATTCTAGTCTAACGATATTGACAATGCTTTATATAATGATTGATTGACTAGCAATATAGTTACGAATTTCTGTTTAAACCAAATAATTACATTTTCAATGAACTATATAAACAGCGTGTAATACATTTAGTGCTGGTATGATCATTAGATATGAGATATAAAGTAAATTATCTGTTATTTGTCGATAGATATCAACAAAAATTCAATTACTTAATAGGCTTTGTAGAAAAAAGAGCCAAAACTTCTTTAAAAAATTTCATTTTATTCAATTTGTTATTTACACGATGAAAATTAACTTTGGAGAGGAAGATGAAGAAGTAAGACATTCAAAGCGACTTATCGCATTCTACACTTCAAGTAACATTTTTAATAATGTACAAAGCTCTTTTAAGTTGCACAAAGCGAGTGTAGTTGTAGAGTTGGACTGCATTATTTTCTAAAAAAAATCACCAGTGAACGTAATAATAATACGACTATTAAGAACTTACTTTTTTAACTTCAATCGACAGTGCTTTGGATGGTTCGATTCGTGTTTGTCTACGTAGAGGCTTCAGGGCAACAATACTTTTCATGTAGAATGCTGTCCGTGCAAACATCTGTGAATTTGCTAATTTATCTAATTGTATGCCAGAGATTGTATCTAATGAACCTAAACTTGATTGAGAATCTTGTGAATGCTATAATAATGATAATAATAATAATAATATTCGGGATTAGGATATAAACAGATAAATGAATAAAAAAAACCAATTCATAAATCTTATTTAGATATTTAGTAAAAAGATGAATAGAGTGAAGTATTTCTTTTCAGCTAAATTATTATAATGACTATACACTACGATTAACGATAATAAAAACTATAGTAATCAAGTGGTAATGTTGAAGGTGATCAAGTGTTCCATCCTAGCTCACTTGGCTGATAAAAGAAATCAGATTGACTTGCATAAAGCCGTTAATGTTATTCATCATATTGCTATACGTTTACCACAACGTTTATGGATTCACTTTCCTATTCTCCTGAAGCTATCGAAATCCATATTCAGAAACCAAATTTTTGTTACCCAAGAGAAGTTAATACAATTCAATTGTCTAACCAATGATATCAGCAACATAATAATGGGTTATAATAGAACCTTGATTCACCTTATTTTCTCCAAGTTTTTCTCAATTTCTTTCCTTTAATTTCGTGTTCTTACAGAATTTTGACATTTGTCTCGTCATTACTATGAAACTGTCTTACATCGTTTTATCAAAATATTTAGTTAAATCTCTTACTACATATTATGCAACCTATCAATTATTGAGCTGCATATTTTCTGTTTTTATAAATAATTACTCTAATTATTATAATTACTTTATCATTCCTTTTTCAATTAATTAGCTAATTATTCTATATAATCCTCATAGTCATTTGTGAAATTATAAGATTGTCATGTAATCCTGCCACTACTATTACTACTAATCGATTAATATTATTTTACTATTGTAAATTATGTATATTTATATTAGTGTGAAGTCATGATGAAACACTACTTGCAAAAAGATATATTTCTTTGTTCTGTTCTTGGTGGAGTTTTGTTGTCTGATTTGGATGGTTTAATCGTGGAGCTTTCATTGTTAGGCAGAAATTTGTACTGATGTTGTCGTTCAAAATAATCATGAAGCTTCACAACCAAACCATCCAGCTCAGAAAACAAAACTCCACCAAAATTATCCAGTTGAACAACAAAATTTGTTCTGTTCATCTTTTAATTCATAATTTTCAAACACTGCTTACACTTAATATAAAGATTTCTGTAAACCAATAAAATTAGAGACAAACTATTGAAAAGTGAAAAGTTAGTCAATAAGATTTTCATCATTGTATTCTACAACTGAAACCTTTTATTTATCATTATATTGGTGTGTAACTATGTTGACATCTCTCATGATTTAATTAGTACTGATAACTTTCAAATTGTAGTTTCGTAATGTCAAAGTATGTTTCAAAGTAGTTGACATTTTAAACTGTATAAAATCTAAGTGATAATAAAGTGATAGTATTCTTTTTTTTCTTTCTTTTTGATGAACAGTAAACCTTCAAGTGTATAACAACAGATAAGAATAACGTTATGATTATAAATGAAATGAAATTTACATTTTAATTTAATGCATTTATATATGTGATTTTATTATTGAAACTTTTGAAGAGATTTACATTGTGCATTATTGAATTTTACAGCAAATAGTAAATTCTAATTGACATTCATCTTATTTGTTTAAAATTAATGAATCAATTTGTTACGATAAAAAAACATTCAAAGTAAAATTACTTATTATCAGAAGGGGTTTTGTGGAGATTGTAGTCAATGGAATTACTACAATCTCCACAAAACCCCTTCTGATAATAATCAACATATGCTCATTAGTGACTGGCTTCAAGAGGTATATCCTGGAGTTCTAGTGAGAAGTAGTGACCAGTGGAGTTCAAACCAGGTCTGTTGTAAGATAGAAACTCACTGAAGACAATGGTGGATGTGTCGCTCAATTTCGTGGATTAGTTGAAGTTAGACATTAACACCGTTGGATGCCGGCTCAGTGGTCTAGTGGTTAAGTGCTCGCGCGCGAAGCCAGTAGGTCCTGGGTTCGAATCTCGCAGGGGGCGAGGTCGTGGATGCGCACTGCTGAGGAGTCCCATAATAGGACGAAACGGCCGTCCAGTGCTTCCAGGTTTTCCATGGTGGTCTAGCTTCAACCGACTCATGATCTTAATCAATAAAATTACTTATATTCATGATTAAACTAATAGAGAATGTATAAATCAAAGGTGAATATTAAAGTAAACCGTAACTAGAAATTTCGATAATTCAATACACCAATACATTATATATTTTTTAAAAAAAAGAACTTGTGTATCAGTTGTAACCATAACTACGCTACTATTAATTCTAATGATCCATAGCTAGTATATACTTTTAATTAAATATCAAAAAAAATTATTCTCACCGGAAATCTTAACGGTGCACTACAGTTATCAGCAGATAAATATGGTTCACTTTAATTCAATATTTGTGGTGGGCTATGGACGGTACACATATTCTTTATTACCTCCATATAACCAAGAAAATTATACTTGTTATCCAATAGCTAATGATCATAAGTTGTGCTGTCCAAATAGAAATTTATAAACGAACGGTTGAAAACTACCTGATTAAAGCTTTACACAATGACTAACCATTGTATAGAATGACTTCTATCGTATTGCAAACTATCTTATGTGCCATGTAGTCTGTGAGTGGAAATAAATCTACATTATTCACATCATGTATTATTCATAATTAAATAACTGTCTCAATGATACCAAAAACATCATATTACCACGGGGTAATTAAATCATTTAGTTACTTATTTTATGAAATCGGATAGATAAACTGGAGCTATCAGTTGACAACAAGGTGAATAAGGGCTATATAAATGTAAAATTGACTGAATTTATTTATTTATCTATTTATTGACAAATTGAAAAAGTCAACATTAATTCTATGGATTAATGATACGTCTTAAAATATTAACTTAAAATAAATTAAAATTTTGAATATCTAACTCGCCTAACGTCCCATATGCATTCATATGATCCCTCAATCAAAAAATGCTCTCGTCTTGTAACTGAAACCCTAGAGTTTCTCCATGAAAAATTTAGGACAGTTAAATATGATGATTTACTGAATAAAAGATACCTAATACAGCTCAGTAGAAGAAGCTTAGAGAGTCATAGTGTAAACACTAACAGACTATGTATAGAATGTAAATGAAATGATCCAATTAATAAGTTTTAGATAAGATACCCTACAAATCAAAATATTTTATAGTTTAATCTTGATTCATAAAATATTATTGAATATATTACAGAATATACAAATATGTACATACGTATACAATTAGAGGTATTTTATTTGTCTAATCCTTTTCTCACTCAAGTGAATGTCGGTCAATAAAAAAATAGTATCCGCTTTTCTTACGCAATTCTCTTTACCAATCATGATAACTACTTTCAACTCTAATAATCAACAAATAAATGGAAATTAATTTCTTCAATACTTTATTACACACATTCAAAGTGTGGCAATGAAGTTAGACAGGGAAAAAACTCCATACGAGAATTGTTTTTGCTATCCAGGAAAAATGAAAGGATATATTCATATATGATTCTCCTTTCTTCTTTCATCGTTTTATTTAATGTTACTCATATTCCCTAATGTTTTCTTTCTCCCTTTTTCACGTTATATATATATATATATATATATATATATATATATATATATATATACTTTATCCAAATTGTCATTTCATCATGATTATCTGTAATAAATGTACTGGATAACTTTTAGTAAAACAGTGAAAATGATCCATGCAGAATAAGAAGAAAAGTAGATAGACAAAGTTGCTGAATATCAATACGTAAAATACAATAATTTGTATTTATATTTATACATATTGTATGTATTTTATTTTCTAACGCCGACAAATTAATGTGTAGTACGGGGAATGATATCAATAAATGATAGTAAAGAGTTCTATGTTTTAGGTATGTATAATAAAATTTTAGTCATAGCCTTCGCTAGTGTAGTGAGAAAATTTAAAAAACATGCCTAGAAAACAGCTTGGATGAAACAACTACGAAGAAAAAAATAGACAACTACGAGGATGAAAACCGTAGTTATGCTTGAGAGGAGAAACAAAATACACACTGATAGTCCAAATCATTCAGGTAAAGCTTCACTGTATTCAACTTTTTTTATTACATTAGTAACATCAATTTCGACGATGAATTCAACAAGAAACGTAGAGTTAGGGTTCGAACTAAGTGCCTCATAATGCTTCAGAGGAGATCGAAAATTTATCATTGATAACAAACGCTTAGAAAAAACATAAGTTTTTTGAAAGTAATTATATGCTATAACTAACGGATTTTAATCGTTACAAACACTACTAGGAGTAAAACACCATAAACATTCATTTCTTGCAAGTGCTGAAAAATCCTAGAAGACAAAATCGTTAAAAATGATTGAGAGTGAACATTTTTGAGGCTAGAATGATAAAAATTTTAAAACTACACTGTGGTAAAAGCAAGCAAAAAAGGAAACCACTTCACTTTTATCTAATAGGGAGGGGGCGAGAGGAAGTCGACGGTATTTAGCATATCTATATTTAGAAGCGGAATAAAGATGGAAGGGGATAAGCATATTCGCATCGTCGAGAATAAGTATACCGAAGAGAACACTTTTATTTTCACAACAAGAAACTTAGCCTTCCCTTATAAGCATACATATAAACTTGTTCCTTATAGAAACAACTAATAAATAACTGAAAATGACAGGATATGGATTCCACTGCTAGCCATATTCCATTTATTTATATTGATATAATGGCTATATTGACGCGATCTGAACTGGATGCAAGCACATATATAAACTAAGACTGACCGAAATTTAATTAGATATATCAACAAACAGATAAGCAAACACCATTACAAACAAAATTAAAATTTATACCCATTGCGTAAGTAAGTGGGTATCTGAACATAGTAGCTAAGCAAAATATCAACTAAGTGTCACATGTTAAATTTCTTACTTTGACTTAAAAATTATTATCGTGAACACAATTATTTGGCTACAAAATATAATGATCTGCTATGATTCAAGAATTCTTATAATAATCATAATATACTGTTTTTCTCAGTGACTTCAATATACTTATATGTTATTATTAAATACATAAACAACTCCAGATGAATAAGTACAAACATAAACAATCACAGAATAAATTTTCCAGCTATTAAACCTTTATCCCTTTCCAACTAAAGAAAAACATTTGATGCACCGGATTAATTGAACTCGATCAGAATAATGATAGAGTCATGTAACTGATCAATTGTTCACTAATCAGGAGTGATACATTGTTATGAAATATTTTTCGTTAGCGCAAAGAAACATTTTAGTGTGTTGCCTAAAAATATTAATAATCTTTGTTGTCGTAAATTTTCTAACAATAAAGCTTTTTGATAGACATTAATTAGTTGGTAATAAAATTGAACGTACTAAGAGATGGTTAGGAATATGTTTTTTGAATAAAAAAAATTGAAATTGTGTACAATCAAAAACGATTACCACTTAAAATAATCGTCATTGATCTTTTACTCAGACTAACGAAATTGCATTTTTATCACATTGGCAAAACCGGTTTCCATTGAAATCATTAAACGACATAAGTTAGACAACTATTGAACAGCCGTTTCGTCCTAGCATGGGAACTCCCCAGTGGTACGCACCCACCCCTTTAGACCACTAAGCCAGCATCCAACGGTGTTAATGTCTAACTCCAATAAATACACCACGTTGTGCGGCCGTCTTCCATTGTCTTGGGTGGGTAACTGCCTTAGGACCCGCACGGATTAGCTCAACTGGTCACAGCCTCTCACTAGAACTGCCGAAATTTTCTCTTAAGCTAGTCCCTAGTGAGAAATGATAATTGTTAGTAAAGGGTTGTGGAGACTTTCGAATTAAAAATTACATTTAATTGTAGAAGAATAAACAATCACAATAGAATGTTGTGTATATACGTATATTAATAAAATGTTTACGCATTGACATGTTTTAACTTAGTGTTGAAACGCGTGAAACTAATAATAACTATTCAAGTTTGTAATATACACTATAAATAGGTTCATGGAAGACTGAATTCAACTTGAAAATACTACAACATTCAAAAACCCCCATACTGAAAAAAGGCTTCAATAAAACAAATCACAGAGTGTAATTAAACTTAATGGATCAATGAATTTGCACGTATTTATCAAGTAGGCTGTTAGCCATAACCTATTATATTATGCCAAACGATGTTACTTCCTGATTTAAAATTGATGAAGATAAATAATCTATAGCATATTAGTTAGTGGTAAAGTATTTTTAAAAGAATTATGAGTTCAAAGGATCTACACCATTTATTTAAATCAAAGTCAAGACTGTTTCAACTCCACCTGGAGCCCCTCTGGGGCTATTGCAGATCCCAAGCCCGGATAAAGGAGGAGGGTTGGACATGGGGTTAGCCACCCCATCCCATAAAAACCTGACCCGCTAGAAACCATTTAAACTCTGTCCTGGGTGTTGAAGGGTCTGTATTTAGAAGAGTTATGATGTCTCATGATGAAAGCCAAGTGCCTTCAAAAGTCACGAAGCCGAGGCCTCTTCTTTCAACCAGAGCAACCATTTTTTAGGTACATCGAATGCTCGTACAATGTGGGAGACTGGAACGGTTTTCCAAATTGCTGCAGAAATGAGGGGGTACAAACTAGAGGTGCTTGGGATCAGTGAAACACATTGGACGCAAGTTGAACAACAACGACTAGCTTCAGGTGAGCTGCTGTTATACTACGGACATGAAGAAGAAAATGCCCCACATACACACGAAGTTGCACTGATGCTGTCCAAACAAGCACAAAATGCACTTATAAGATGGGAATCTCATGAACCCAGGACCATCAAAGCCTCCTTCAAAATAAAGAGGGCATGACAATGAACATCATCCAATGCTATGCGCCTATCAACAATTACAATGAAGACGTTAAAGATCAATTCTACGATAGGCTGCAGTCAATCGTTGAGAAATGCAATGAGATACAGTGGACAGTTAGGATGCAGCTGGACGACCTAGATTTCGCAGATGACCTGGCTCTCCTATAGCACATGCAACAACAAATTCAGGAGACGACCAGTGTAGCAGCAGCCTCAGCAGCAATAGGTTTCAACATACACAAAGGGAACAGCAAGATTCTCCGATACAACACAACATGCACCAATCAAATCATACTTGACAGAGAAGCTTTGAAAGATGTAAAAACCTTTGCACAACTGGGCAGCATCGTTGATGAGCACCGTAGATCCGATGCGGATGTGAAGGCACGGATCGGCAAAGCAAAAGCAGCATATCTACAACTGTAGAACATCTGGAACGCAAAACAGCTGTCAACCAACACCAAAGTCAGAATTTTCAATACACATGTCAAGACAGTTCTACTGCATGGAGTAGAAACTTGGAGAACTACGAAAGCCATCATCCAGAAGATACAAGTATTTATTAACAGTTGTCTACGAAAAATACTTCGTATCCGTTGGTCAGACACTATTAGCAACAACCTACTATAGGAGAGAACAAACCAGACCCCAGTGGAGGAAGAAATCAGGAAGAAGCGCTGAAAGTGGATAGGACATACATTGAGAAAAGCACTCAATTGCGTCACAAAGCAAGCCCTAGGTTGGAATCCTCAGGGTCAAAGGAGAAGAGGAAGACAAAAGAACATATTACGCCGAGAAACGGGGACAGACATGAGGCGAATGAACAACAACTGGATAGAACTATAAAGGAAGGCTCAGGACAGAGTGGGTTGAAGAATACTGGTCGGCGGTCTATGCTGCATTGGGAGTAATAAACATACGTAAGTAAGGAAGTAAAGACTGTTTTCTTTTTTGGCACTTATTCCGAACCATGTATAATCATTATAGATAACTGAAGAAAATCCTTTGGTCGGATTGCTACCATTTAAAAAAAATTACTTAAGATTCAGGGTGTAGAAAATTCCAGGAACCAGGTAGTTTGCACAAGGCCTAAACACAACAACCATAATAAGAAGGAAATCTATGAATCGTTTAAAAAATTCATTAACATCATTATAAGTTTCAATCGTATTCATCGAATTTGTCGGGATGATGACTCGGAAGAGAATTTGTGTATGACAAGTTCTGGTTGTGTCACAAACTGAAAAGTTATGAATGACATGACTTACAAGTTTAGTCTTATTAAATTAGGTGTCTTGTTACTAGTAAAAACACAATATTAGTACGATTCACATTACATTGAATAAGTTATAACAAAGTACTTCCTACAAATTGCCATCTCGTTTTGATGTATTATTTCACATTACAACTAATAGAAAAGTACAACAAAGGATTAAACTAATAATAATCTTAATTACACGAATCAAATAGAAAAAGGTAAGGAAACATAATGTAAATATAATCCAGTGTCTGGATGTAACATATTTGATTTATTTAAAATAACTATTTACTAAAGTAGATTAATGATAGTTAAGATCACGTTTTCGGTTAACATGCTATTATTGACAATAATTAATTTAAATAAATATATCAGCTAGAGAATAATAACAACAACAAAAACACTGAAGTATTTTACTAAATTGGAGAAAAACTACACTTATGAATGAAATAAGGTTGGTTGTGAAGCTGCGAATAATAATGGTTACAGCTTTATTCATTGCTACACATTTTTTACAGTAAACCATTCTCAGCATCAAGTGTCCAGCATAGTATTGCAACACATAAGTCTTTGACATGAATTAAAAAATTGTAATTATTTCAAAATATAAACAAATAATATATTTGTAGTATCCCAATGAGTAGAAAATTAGATTTTCTGACGTTTCGTGACTTAGTGTAAGTCACTTCTTCAGAGAATAAATAACCAAATTAAAATTAATTTATCATCATATAAAAGGTGCTTGTACTGTGATATGTTTATCTGTTGTTTTGTTAAATGATGAATAGAAAAGATAATATGTCAAAAACTATAGTATTTCTGTTGAAGTTTACCAGTGTTTCGTACTTCAATAATGTGTAACTTTTTATAGAAGTTCATGAGTATACACATTTAACATTTATAATTAGTCAGTTGAAATAAATATCAGACAGTTTAAGTGAAATATCTGCACAGTCGAAAAATACATAGTCAAAACATTTGAGCCAGGATTCATATTACAGACTTATACATTTATTGTAGCATTCTCTTTTTTATACAAACTACAAAATATTTTAAGTATAATCTCTTATTAACTAATTTTTAATAAGGAAAATAACACTCTACCTTACCTTTTTCTTTTTGAAAAAATCGAATTCCATTAATGGATTATAATCAGACTAGATTGAGGAAAACGAGCACAAAGAGGAGAGAGAAAGAAACAGAAAATAAAATAAATAATGCAGTGAATGAATGAGTGAAGAATGCACAATCCTGAACATTCTTCTATATGAAAAATGATAATGAATTAAAACAAAAAAACAATAATCACTAAATAAACCAGCTCATTTTGAGCAGAAAAAAGTTGGTTTTTGTCATAAACATAAATAAATAAATTATTCTGACTAATCAATAATGCATCAATCCTTTAATCAAATAGACGTTATAGTAGGTTTTTGAAGAAATGATTACCTAGGGAATCTCCATAATAAAAAATAGAATTACGTCACTGTTCATCAGATTACATAACTTGTAGATCCGTGAACGAAACATCTACTTTTACATCAACGATATCAAGGACAGAACACACTTTTCGGTCGCAAAAATTATCCGATAAATGTAGACAATATAAGAATCTATTAAATAATGTGGTAACTGGTGTTTTCAGATTATCACTTTAGCTTAACAGAAACGTTAAACATTAGAAATTCTCAAGTTAAACATAGAATATCAATGAAAAGAGATTAATCGAACGATATGTATACAAAGTCGATTGGTTGACATAATCCGACGATATATTGTTCATATCTGAGAATCAACTACTCCATGAAATATTAGATAAATAGAATGTAAGGTGGAAAAGTTTTTAAATTGTAGCGCTACAGAAAGCGAATTATGTAAATATATGACTTTAAATAAAGTCAATGGTAGTTCATAAATAATCGTTCGGAACTGTATGCCAACAGATAATTCCAAACAAATAGTAACAATACAGAAGTTACATTTATCCTACCACCAGCATTAATTCTCAAGTATTTAGTTATGATTTATACTTTTCCATTTTATTTCTTTATCGATGTTTCAACAAGTTTCAAGTTTATTGTATATCAACTGATATGCATTAAATTTCAAGTGTCTTGTCTACATTCTATTTTTAGACATCTTAATGAGAAGTTGTGGGAAAAATATCGTAGAAAGGAACAGTTTATACTTTACAATAATAATAATAAGACTTACATCCATCCCAACACTATCATGTTTCTTTCGATATTTATTTTGTTTATTAGTAAACGTATAATCAAAAGATGGATGTTTAAAGTAAGTCCATTCTGGCATTCCTTTACTATTTTGCCCGTTTGTTGGACTATTAATATCAATTACTTGATTTTCATCATTTGTCTTACTCCGTCTAGATAAACGATGTTGACGTTTATTTGCATTAACTCCTTGTAACTGCGTATAGCCAACATAATTAGATGGTGATGTAGTTTGTGAACAAGACTCCTCAAATACTGTGGGTGGTAATGTTATCGAATCACCAGCGAAACGAGCTAAAAATCTTCCAGAAGTTGATGTTTTTCGACGCTTTTTATCAATGGGTAAATTTGTACCAGTTCCACTAGAATTACCCCCGGAAGAATTAATCGCAGATAAAATAAGATTACTAAATGAAATTTTACGATTTGGCTTCTCTGGAGAAATTTCATCGACTGTTGTACAGAATTCAACTGTATTTGAATATTGTGTTGGATTTTCATTGTTTGTTGGATCACTACCAATCAGTAAAGATTTACTTGCTGCAGCGGTACATGTTTCCGATGATATTTTTCTCAACGGATCAGATGATTGGTTGGGTGAACGAATATCACTCTCACGTCGATAACGTCGTAAATGTTTTTCTGTCACTAGCAACGCATCCCATGGGATAATCCAATTCATAGCACGCAGTTCCGCCTGGAATTTAGCACGGCTACAAAATGAAAAAGAAAATTATAGCAGGACCGAGTCACTCATTCTCATTTTGAACTGTGTGTGGTAAGATCTCAATCAGTAAGTCAGTCACAACGTAGAACCTGGTACGTATGTACATCGGTTCACGTTGCCACATCCTATTAGCAAAGAGAGATGAAATTGTAAGATCGAATCCCAAAATAGTAGAGCAAGTAACAGTATCAGTGGTAATAGGAAGATTAGGTGTCGAATATACGACTTGAGAAGGGAACGTAAATTAGTAAAATAATGAAAAGAATGGACGAGGAATTTAGAATCTGAAAGAAGACAAAGAATGCATGTACCTAAGACATAATCGATCATTTATGGATTGCATATCAGATTGCTTTTCCTAGGATAGTCTTTAAGTGACAAATCGTTAAGGTTTTTAACAAATGTGAGATTTTGTTAAACCCGTTTTATTCGAAGGTTATAACATAAATAAATGTTAACTTTCAATTTGTCAACTCTAACAACCTTTTTTATGAGAAAACATATTACATAAATATGGATCTAGTAGGCACCAAATGAACATGGAGATAATAAACGGAAACCGTCTAAGATGGACCATAGCATCATTTTGTCTAGAAAGAAAAACAAGAATAAAAAGTGACAAACAGGACCTAGTTTTACTTGCAAGTGATTTGAATTATACTGTTTTTAATATACTTGACTGAATTTTTACAATTCTTATTTAGGATATTTGTACTCTGTTCGGAATGCCGCGATATAGATGTATTGTAATAATTTTTATAGAATACATGAGTTGGAGATTGCAGTGGAATGCAGGACGAGCGTTTCATCCTATTTAGGACTATTCAGTTGAGTGAACTTGAATCCCATTTAGTCAAAATATTAACAAAAGAATAAAGCGAAATTCCACAATTTAAAATGAGATGGTACTTATTACACAAACTGGTGGCTATCAAAACTCAGTAGCTCAGAGGATAACACGTTAGTGTACGAGGCACAAGGAACTGAGTACAAGTTTCATAAACGCGTGCTCTGGATCCTACTAGTATCCACTAGCCAGTGAAAATAAAAATCTTAGACTTATGTTTTATGAGTCTTGGTAATCATTAATAAAACCATGCATAACTTTGATGATAATAATATCGATCAAAAATACGAAACTACATAATCCTATGAGTATAACATTCACTAATAAGTTAATTACATCATATATCATGTCTTAAAGAAAAACGAAACTAGGTTATGCACAATAATTGCGCATGAAATATTTCTCATCGGAAGTACATATGACTACACCATATAAGCATAACAAAGAGAATTCGACGATAGATGAAGTTTAAAGAATGGTAGTGGTAAAGAAAAACTGGAAGGAAATACAGCGAAAAAGGAAACAATTAGCGTAAATCTACCGAAAATAAACTTTGTTATTTGAAGTAAGATGAGGAATAACAGTCACTTTTGTCATTTGAATTCACCTCAGGTTTCCGACAGTTTATTTCTGTCTATTCATAAAGCTACATCTCTTTAAATGATTCAGACTGACACTCAGTAACTTCAAGACCAGATGTTTGACAGAAAGTAACTGGTTGGTGAATAAAAGTTCATTTAACTTATGTAGTGTAGATTGACGAAAGCAACAACTTCATGATTGTGTTTACTTGAAGATTAAACTCTAACACCAACATCCTTCACTCGGTGGTTTGATCGTTTACCGGAAATACTTTCAAATATAACGTTACCAGTTTTAACAAACGGTTTAAAGTCGTTAAATAATTAAAAAATTACTTATCACCCTATAATAGCGACAATTTTTTGAAATTCTTAAAGAACAAGTTAATTTGAGAACATGTATTAAAATAGTACAAAAATAAATAAAGTCAAATTTCTACACATATGATTGAAACAAGTCATAAAACTAATAGTGACTCAGCCATCGAGGTTTTGTAAAGAAGCTGTCTAGGAGGAATACTTTGATTTGTTAGAACTTTAATCATATACAAGTTCACACCTCCATTATGTGTCCAAAAACAGATTGTCTATGCCATTGTGTGTATCTGTGTATTGCTTAATTCAGTGCACCATAATGTAAGTTTAAATGATATTTTATCTGTATAAATTAATATAATTAAACACTAGGATAAGCTAATTGTAAGGATAAGCTAATTACTAATAAGCAGATAGAATCAAAGAGAAAGATGGGGAATAAAAGAGTTACAAAACGGTAAATATATGTTTTATTTTTCGAAACAGTGTGATAGGCGTGAAAAAAACAACAGGCACCGATACAACCAAAATACAATGCAATTCAGTAGCATCTAATAAAAGAAAAAACGACGTAACCTATAATGATGATTGATGATGACAGTAAAAATGAAAGAAAAATATAAAATATAAACGTTTACAATCAAAATAACTATATATATGAGTTGTCTTTGTTCTCTTTTATTTAATTTGTTAGACGATTGTCAGTTGATCGATGATGTAGTTTAGTTTATATTCCTACTATACAAACATATGATCGAGCGAACAGAAATAATTTTCTATTCAAATATCATGGTTACATGGTGATTGAAAATAAAAAATGCAGCTTAAAAAACAGTTTGATGTTGAATCCCATTGAATTAGTCAGTTGGAAAACGTCAAACTGCTCGAAATGTTGTTCTAAACAATATATTGGAGCTTTCAGTGTTTGAACTATATGTAAAATCTGATAACCAGCTTCTTTCGCTAGAACTCTAAAACTCTGAGCCATTGATGCATGCTGAATCTCCAAAACATGTATACAGAATCAAAGTGAGCTAATCCACTTGACCTCACATAGTCAATATAGAAAACTTGCACGACCTACCCTTCATGTGTCTAGGGTCTTGACTGTTAATTTATCGAGGTCTCTTTAGTTTAGGTATGAAATTAAATTCAAAAGCCGAACATGCTTTCCTAGATTGGGTTCCAGTAGACAGACACTTGTGCCCTACCAGACTAAATAGGACAGTAAGAACTCGGAAAGATGGGTACAAACGTCACTTTTTCCTCAACTTCACTAACTGTAGTTCAGATGGAATAAGAGATAAGCTTTACATAAAACTTCCTGCCTTAATTTAAAAACCAAAAACCTCAGGTGTGGTAATTGTAGGGAACAATCTTAATGCTAAAGTAGGTAGTCTGAATCAAACCAAAAGATACTTAAGGTTTTATGGTGTAGTGGTTCGGAGAAGAGATAACAGTGACCATCTGATGCAACTATGTTCAAATAACAGTTTATTTCTTGCAAACGCTAAATTAAGGCATCCTCTAACATTGCTATCCACCATAATCAACAAAACGACGAACCTAAAAAGACTATATCCCCAATAGCTATCGTTAGAGAGGCTTGACAGAAGACTGTCGCTTATTCCAAAGTACAAGTCTAAACTCTGATAACTCTCGAGTGTGAGTGTGTGTTTGCTTGCGTTTTAGTGGACGCAGAAAAATTACAACAAAAAACTCCCTAGAGCTCAGTTAAACAACGGAAAAATCAAGAGCATATTTCAAAAGCAACTAAATAAGCAATTCTACAGTCTTCAAAGAGATTTTCACCAGACAGATGTGAAAACAGAAGTGATGTCCACCAGTAACTCAAACCAAAATGTTAAAAAACAGGTAAATTTCGATAGAGTCTGCTTAGTTAATCGATATTTGGAAGCCTATCCCGTCAAAACAATGGGGAACGGAGGTGACTCAAACTTAAACTAATAGAATGTCTACATAGTAATAGTGAGTAGTGGTGGGCAGCGGAAGCAAAAGAGATGCAAAAAGCATCTGTGACAAGTAAAAGTAGATAACTTTTCAGCGTTGTCAAAGAAACAGGCAGTAAAAAGTCAGGTGTTAGTGAAGCTACATCAGAAATAAACGGGACTATGATATACATCCAGACTAAACGATTGGAATTATGCGTGGGACACTTCACAGAACAGTTCAATTGTTCTCTAGATCTGCACTTACGTACTACTTCAAAACAACCTAAATGTGAAAATGAAAAAAGTTCCTCGACTTTCAATGGAGACGAAAAGGTTATAATATAGCTAATTTAGAGTGGGTCCTGATAGACTAATCCCGGTTATCAATAATTCCAGTTTATAAGAAAAGATAGAAGCCCTCATGTTCTAACCACAGAGGAATAAATTTGACTAATGCAGAGTCAACACCCGGACTAGTGATAGAGAATGAAACAGTTGAGAGCGTTCCATCAACCCAGGTGAGTTGGTGTTTGACGAAATCTCAGCACAGGTTTAGTGTTGGTAAATCCAGACTACCTAGTTGGGATCTACGCGATTATCATAATCCCTGGTGGTTAGAGATTACGATTGATATGGCTCAGAATCGGTCATATAATGTAGATCCATTCATTCTTTGTCTTCCCTTAGATCTTAAATTTAATATTATTTTTCATAAATATATAGCTTTTTCCAGTTATCTCAGATACTTTTCATCCATACATTATTCAGAAACAGTTGGATTGGATAACTTTTTCCCATATAATTCAGAAACACAAATATGTTCAACATTGAACATTGAGTAGTTTTTTTTTGTCTCTCAAAAAAGGTCAATAGAAATTTATGAAAATAATAAACAAAATGTAACGTAACATCACAATAGCACACAAAAAATGACCAATCGATTATGAGAACAATAGATTAATAGTTTTTCACTTACCGATAGAATATTATTCCCAAGACTAAAGACATTGTCATTAATAAAATGAATACAACTGCACCAATAATTCCAATATGAATAAAATCTGTAATTAGATGAAAATTAAATTTGTGAAAACAGAAAGCTTAATAAAATTATATGACGTAAGACAATTCAATTTAAGTTGGTGATGCTCATGTATAATATATATCAAACGATTATAAAATAGTAGAGTAATGGTGTGCCCTCAAATGCCCTGGTACGGCCGAGAGTGGGGAGAGTTCACTCTCCCTCTCGAAATGTTCTCACATGGCCACGCGTATATAGCCTCTGCCAGGGAAGTCCTACTCACTGCCTTCTCGTGGCTGGGGTGTTGTTTACAAAAATGAGAGGACGAAAAGCGAATGTCCGGCGCTTTAACCGGATCCCAAACCAATGGTGCACATGGGCTCCAGTATCCTGAAGGAACAAATGGCGTATGAACCAATCGTTGGTCACCGGCTACCATGGGACTGCATCTCCTCACGATGCTCCACTGCCTTGTGGGTCAGACGTTCAGGTCAAAGGCTCGGGGTGTGGCCCCCTAAGAAAACCACCTGCTTCGGTTTGGGCACCCGGGCGGTATCACAGCCCTCACACAAATCAATTGAGATTTGTGTGGCGCATATGTATTTTGGTGCCTCCCTGTACCTATACTTATGTGTTAAAATAAAATAAAAATAATAAAAAAGAGTAATGGTGTACTAATAAGAGTACATAAATATAATATTCTATAATTACGCAAGTATGATTATGTTCGCTTGACGATAACTATCAGATGAATTACCTTATAATTAATACTACGGATAGTTAAACATACTGCTTCAGCGTTGCGGATTTATGCAAATATTTAGACATGGTAATTAAATAACAGTATTCGTCAACAGTGTCTTTGATAGATTGAAAAAAAAATAATTTGAATATATATGATCCAATTCCTACGTAGAACAGATTTGGATTTTAAAATTAAAAAGACTGCCGTATACAATGGTTAAGGTCGACTGTTATCTGTAAAGAAAGTCCAACAAAATTACACAGGCTACCACGAATAAGTCAACCAGGCTTAAGATAGCACCCCCAGATTTTTGGGCGAAGTTTAAAGCAGAATGATGGCTAGTTCGTGTCTCACTATTAGCTAAGTAAGAATTATCTAGATCTAGATCTTAAAATACTTAAGTCAGTCAGTCAACTACAACGTAGGACCAGACACTGAGTGTGACATGGTGTGTAAACTTAGTTATAATAAATATCTGATACTAATGCACGTTGTATTGGAGAGTACTTAAGGGAATACTGAAGATGTTTGTATAGTTAAAAACAACTCACTACCTCCTAATCATGGCTCTTAACCTTAATCGTTATAAGTTTATAAACAAAAGGATGCCAACATAAAATATTGACCATATGGTTTATGAAATTCCATACTCATTTGTTTATTTGCTTATATATATATATATATATATATATATATATATATATATATATATATATATATATATATATATATATATATCTTTTATATTATCTCGTTTGAGAATAAATACGATAAAGATTATAATGACAGTAATAATAATAATAACAATAATAATAATAATAATTCTGATAATTCAATATACGATTCTTCTTCTTCTTCTCATTATTATTATTATTAATATTATTATTCGCGTAAATAGGACAATGTAAGGGGAGAAGAAACGATGAAAAATGATTTCTTCTTCTATAACCCAACTAATTCATCTCTATGACCATCTGGCTGTAAAGAATAATAACTCAAATTATCATTAAATCATCATAAACTAATCAGTTTCTTCCTGTATCTTTTTCAAATTTCTCTTTCTCATTTCCAACAAATTATCATGACTACTATTAGAACTTTAATAAAATTAGTAACATTATCATTATTATTTTTTTAAGCATGAATTTTACTTAACATTTTTGCTATTGACTCACAAATAAAGTTTGATCATTCATTCACTTTACTCATTAGTTAACCGACTAACAAACTAGTCAAACATAATCAGCTAGCCAACTAACCATGTGAGTGATTAAATTCAGCTATAAAATTATAAGAGTAGAGAATTTCATGACATAAGTCGAAATAGGGTTAGGGGTCACATGATAGGTAAATAATAATTCCAGTCACTACTGATCAATAGACCTATGGACATGTATACAACTTATTACTTCAACGTACTGAACTCCCACCAACACGGACATCTTTGTCTGTTACGTATTTATTAATTATTTTATCTATTTTAATTGAAGTAAGCAGATTAATAGAAGAAAAAGAAGAATGATGATAACACTAAAAGAGAGTGATAATAATTATTATGATATATATGCATGAGAAAGAACCAGAGAATGTAGACAATAAAACGCAATAATAATGTCAAATAATTACTATAGATTAAAAACAAAAAAGAAAACTGAATTTCCAGTGTATTCAAAATGACGATGAGGAACAAGAGAATAAATATGACCATTTAATGAAGATAATATTTCATGAAGAAAAACTATCACAGATTGTAAGTAGCTGACGAGAACCAAACGAAATAAAATGAATTCAGGCCATTCTGCTAAAACCCTTATTCTTTCTCTCTTCAAGATGATAAAGGGAACTATACATGTGAAAAATAATGTAACTAAACAAATGGAAAAACCGTAACATAAACATGAATATAAGTATACTTCAGTGACTTGTATTGGAAAAAGATTTATCTTGTTTGCAATAATCAGTACAAATATCCATAAACGGTAAAGTACATCAAGAACAACAACTGTGAAATTAATAAAAACTGATTTTACCTCATGGAACTGACATACTGAAGACCTTGACAAAAAGCTATCGTTTAACACGCAGTTACTAAAGACAATGAAGTAACCGTATCAAAGCTGTGTCACTAATGCTGAATTATCTAGCTCCAAGGTCTATATAATTCGAAACTCAAAGTTCACAACATTTTCAGTAGTATAACAGACCTATATTTAATTGCTAGCACACATAAAACTGGCATTTTACAATCGCCTATGATAGTGAATATTAAATCGACACTTTTACATTGTGTCAAGGCAGTATTTTATCACCAAAACTTGAAAACCCAAATTAAGCGTTGATCAGAGAAAATCTGTCAATTTATCACCACCATTACATTGAAGTGTACATTTATGAAGAAGTTCTTCAACTGTTGAATAGGAAACCATTTGCTGTAGCAGCTTCATTCAACCAAATACAAATTTAATCAATCAGTCAACCATACAACGTAGAACCCCGCGAGTATGTGCAAATATGTTCAAGATTTAGTCAAACAACAACCTATTGGGGTTGATAAGACGTCCAAAATAATTCAGATGGTCAATTCGCTCAAATACTTCACTTCCTATTATAAGTTTATATATTGACACATTCCAGTCCTGAAATAAGAATTTACATTAAGAAGGATAGAAATGTACCCTGACGATTGCTTACAGTATTCGTCAGTGCGACTAAAAGATTCCGTATTTTTAAAAGCATTTTAACCAAATTAAACATTATCATCATATTATAGGTCGGTAAGTATATCTCCTGTTATAAATACAGTAGTCCCCAATGTTATCAATCCCTAATTTTGACTTTATTGAATTCATAAGTACTATGACTTTCTAAACTAGAACTTTACAAAAATTTATCTGAAAACAAATCGCTAGTTAGGACTAAAATATGTTTAGTTGAAAGTGTAGATTTTAACCACCTCTAATTAAATTATACTGAAAATGTTATCTCCGTTGACAAATACACACACACACATAGGAAGATAGTACAAGAGAAACGGATAATTCCCGTTCTGAACGGTTTATAATTTATAAATAGGCACTTCTAATGAAATATTTAGTGTTTAGATTGTTTTTTAAGGGCAGATAAATTTCCAATTGTAAAAATCTCATATGAATAATTCCATTCTATGTGTCCCAATGAGTGTTTGATATTTCTTATTTTGTTCGTTATAATTTAAGTGGTGAATTAATTTATTCATGAATACAACAAGTTAGTGATCGATTCCATATATTCTGTTATCACATTCTTGAGAAATATCACCGGGAATAAAATTTATTATTATTATTATTCAAGTTTATTCAATCAGTCTCTGCATGGATCTTTTTTGATCTCTTGTATAACTTAACAATCAGAAATCGAAATGGCTGACAGATATGAGAAAATTGAAATACTCATGAAAACGAAAACAGAAATTCAATATCTAATAAAAATATGATGAAATCATCAGCTAATTTTTTAATAATGGAAATGGTATTAATTGATAATAAATCACATTTATTGTTGTTGTTATCGTCATCATTACTATGATCTGTTATTTGATCTATTTAATTAATGTCAATATCAAACAATCAATACCCGGATAACTAATGTCGTTGAAACAACACAGTGATTACATATATATAATAAGTATCACATTACAACTCATATGAAGATATCTGGATTAAAGATGTAGAGAATGATTGTTGTACTGGATATTGAGTTGCATCCAATAACAATAATAGTGTGGAGTTGATCAATGATATTTGAAAAATGGTTTCCCAAAAATAACTCCATAACCATTATATTCAGATCATGTTGATCATAACACATGACTAATGTGGACGATTATTAATGGTCTTAAGATTAAGCTAAAATAATTCACATTTCTAGATATACAGCGAAAATGTAGATAAGAATACTGACTGCATTACATTTATTGAATAACTATATCTGAATACTGTATCTGAATGATTTGACATAGTCAGTGGAAAAAGAAAAACTAGACGATGTATGATTTCAATTTTCAAGCAAAAATTATAATATAATAAATAACACATTAATACTTTAACAAGAAGATCAGTTCTATTTAACTAGATGGGTAAGAACTAAACTGAACAATGTGTTTGATCGGACACCATTGGAAGCGTAGAGATAAGATAAATGATGTACATGTCACGTTTATTAATGCTTACATTAAGACAATAATCAGTAAGGAAATGTTCTGGATACTTTTTATAACATGCGAAGTGTACATAATAACTGATTATGAAGCAATAAGTAGCATGTGAGCAGCTAACCAAACTGATAAACCACACAATAAGATATTAGGTATATTATAAATAAATGAACTTTTCGACTGACTACCCTTAAACCATACAATACGAAATATTGTGAATACTGATATCGAGTCATTTAATTTAATGACCATATGGCAAATTTAATCGAAAACCATTTTATCAACATAGAAGAACAAGAAAACACAACACAATAATTACTAGTTTATATATATATATATATATATATATATATATATACTCATATGAGAGGATAAACTGAAACAAACACCGTTAAAAAAACTATGAACTAAGTCCAAATTCCACATGATGTTAATATTCTGACAAACTTAATTACTAATGCATTAGAAGTGTTTATTATGAGTAGTATTATTGAATCGGTGTATACATCATAGTACTGAAAAGGATAAGTTGATTTTCTTTGAAATAACTAATCTAATAAACAACTTTTGACTTTCAAGCCAAAAAATGAACATTTTCATGACAATAAACCTTTAAAAAAGAAGTTAATTATTTTTCATTTACTGTTATCAGTTTAATGTTCAAATATACTATAAAACGGAATTATTGTTAATAGTATAGGATATGAGATTAATGAGTTCAAGTTACAATCTCTTGATAGATAAAATAGACTACTATTCTATAGGTTGATTGGATATTGATTATCATCCATGTATTCATCAATATAACTTTCTAAGTAAGACAATATCAAAATTATCGGCATAATTGAACTAGATGATATACTAAAACAGTGTTAGACATTGAGTGAATTAGTTTTCAGAATTAACTTTACATAAATATAAATGTTATTTTAAAAAATAATTACTTATTTAAAATTAGGCAATTTATCTTATGAACAAAATAAATACTAGTTTGTTCAATCTTAGTCGATAACAAATGATCTTTAGATGAATTGTGGAAATTTGGTCAAATTTTTTCTTCACTAACAAAGAAAAAAAAAGCTATCTAAAATAGGTTTTGTTTTACTCATTTCAATGTAAAATATAAGTAATCATTACTACAAAGATATTAAATTGTTATATTTCAACATAGGTATCAATCTTAAATATTTAAGAGTACCTTAAATAATTCTATCATCAGCATATGAAGTGTTATTCTCTTTTAAAATAATTATGATTGTTATAAATTTATTCTCATTTTTACTGTTACTATTCTCATACACGCTAACACAGAACTTCATTCATTGACTAATGAAAGAGGAAAAAACTTACGACTATTATGACATTCGGAACCATCGAATCCACATGGTGGTGTATGCAATGGAGGTTGATTATCAGCATTTATCCAATCAATTGTTCTACCGGGAACAGTTGATAAAGACTTATCATTACCAAAATAATTTACAACAACCTATTATTTTTTTTTTTGCAAAAAAGAAAGAAGGGAACAAATAAACGACAGAAGAAGGTGAATACATCATAAGAACAAAAAGAATAAAATATTGAATTAGATATTACTATACTAAACGAGTACGATCAACTTTATTAAATAATCAAAGAGAACATTTTAAAATCAATACATAGTAACTTCCGTTGCTGTTCCATTGTTACATATATCTAACCACCTTCTATCTTAACGTGCTGTTTCCTGATATGGAACTTGGTTGGGAGAAATTCGAACGTATGGCATCAGTACATAAACTTATTGACTATTGGTCAAAGCCAGGTAGGTTGATGCAGACTACCCGATTCGGATCCGCAGCATGACCGAGATCAGCGGCTGAAGATTTCGAGTGAAATGGATCAGAATCGATTGTTATGATCCAGGTGCATTAGCTCTTTATCTCTCTCTCAATCTGCGATTCTTTATACACAAATTAATACCCAATTCTTTAAAACTATATTCCAAATGTTCAATATTTCTCATTATCATTGCCATTACATTACTTCTATCTGTTCTTAAATTCCTATTACATTCATTTTGTCAAGCCAATGTGGTATAGCAGCTTGTGTCAACTCATATATTTCCTTGGTTCCAATGTTGATGTTGATTGACTGACCGAATAACCCAAATAAACTCATTTTAGTGAATCAATCATAAGCTACTCATTAAACGGGTGAAGTAAAGGATGTTCGGTAATTAGGTTACTCATATCTTGTTGATCACATCTATTATGTTGCATTTTTATACATAATAACTCAGTTTTTCACTTAGTTTATATTTATAGATAATGGAATGAGCAGTATCCAGTCAAACATGAACAACCTAAAACCTAGAATATATGTACTTCACTTCAAGCCACAACTGCCCATTGACGCAGCAAGATGGAGTTGCTAAGACAACCTACAGAGCAGTAGAAGCAGTAACATTGTCAGTAGTGGTAGGAAAGATTAGGAATAGACAATATGATTCGATAAGAAACGATGAATTCGCGAGTTCATCATCTAAAAGTGAGCTTATCTACACCCTTGAAAGTGATTGTCGGCCATGTCATTCGACCTCTTCAACGATTGATTACGATAAACGTACAGCCCCTGACCAGTTAGTATACACCTATCAACATGGCGAAGTTCAACAGTTAATGGCCTCATGGACTGATATCACGTTTTAATTTGATCAAATAGTCAGTCAGTTGAAAATAACGTACAACTTAGGTCCTGGGTTCGAATCTCGCAGGGGGCGAGGTCGTGGATGCGCACTGCTGAGGAATCCCATAATAGGACAAAACGGCCGTCCAGTGCTTCCAGGTTTTCCATGGTGGTCTAGCTTCAACTGACTCATGATCTTAATCATTGAAACTTAGGATACGTTAGAAACCAGCGTAATGAGTGAAAATTAACAGATTTAAAAGCTATTTACTTAAAACAAATGTAAAAATGATAATAAAACAATAAACAAAAAGAATAAGATTCGAAAAGGACAAATTAAACCGACAAACATAACGTATGGAACAATATTAATAATCAACAACTAAAATAAAGTAAAAATGAATATATCTGTGATAATGAGATCAATTTCAAACTATGTTACTAAGAATTTCTAAATATATAGATTAAGACTGTTTTGGGGAGCCAAATCAGGAATTCTACACGAATGAATACGCTTCAGTTGAGTAGTTAATTATTCACTGTCAATACTTCTAGATTTCTTGTGTCCAACTCCTATCCCGGCTACCAGACGTTATAGATGTACATGACTACTTCTGAATGAGTATGAGCAAACAGATATTCGTAACAAGTACAAATCATATCCTCATATTGATAGTACTGTAATATTCAGTTATATTTGAACTATAATTAAACTATTAAAACAAAACTGTTTTATCGGTTTTCCTTTTTTTGGAAGGGGGTTTCAATTTGTTTTCAAAATGTGACAATGCTAGAAAAATGAACAGAGAATAATCAATAGAATACGGTCTATCTCTTGTTTTTACTATGAATAACATTATTATTGTTTACAATAGTTGCTAACGCTGAATGATAGAAAATAGATAGGTACTAAATTATATATATAAATTAATGAAGTGTGTAAGAAACACTGACAAGAAGATAATCCCCTGGAGACCATCAGTGAAATTCACTGAATTATATCATCTAACATGCATACACGTGTACAGATATGCACAAACATGTATGTTTGTGCATATACAATCATCTGCATCTTGAAAGAGGATAATACTTAACACGAAAAAAGAAAGCTTTAGACACTTTTTCTCGTTTTCTTGGATTTTCATTTTGTTTTCTTTACTTACTTTGCTAAATACCAAAATGTACAGACTGAATATGAAAAATAATACTAGGACTAACTTTACATAACAAAGCAAACAGTGACAGTTGTAAAAAAAAGAAACTTGAAAAGAAAGATGGAAAAAAGGGTATGAACCAATAACTAAGACTTGCGTAGAAACAAGGAATGTAATCCTGACTAGTTGATATTTAAATAAATGCAGTCAGTAGCAGATATTGTAAAAGTTCTGTGATCATACTACAATAAATTATTTCATGCAAAATAAAGTTCTACACTGATATGTACATATTTGACTATATTCAACTGACCACTGGTAAGATTACAAAGGCGAAATGTCATTATTTTAATGTTCACTGATCATACGTGACTATCAATCTCATTGAGCTGTATTAGGAGTTAAACTGGATTATATTTAATAAAATGCCTAGCTCCTGAAGGGATATAGTTATATTACCAATGCTGAATGAAGAAAATGCTTTAAGGACAGTTGTACTACCACTAAGCAGTGAAATATATGACTAGTCAGATGTTCACACCCGACCTAAATTTTGATGCATGAATATCATTGATTTCTTCGTCGCATAAATCAGAATTGAGCGAAAATTCACCACAAAAACTCAAGTATTGTATCATCTCTCTCCAAACCCTTATAAACTTAAGTAATAACAAGTGGTTTTGTGTAGGAAAAAGTTTTACAACTTTGGACGGAGTTTGTTCCAAATGAGCGTTACAAGTCTTTTTCTACTATCTCAACATAATATCAAAGTAACATACTTTTCTAACTACCACAATGAAATGTTTAATTTATTGACCGTAACTGACATTTGAACATCATAATAAAGTTTAGCGGGGAAAATGGAATATAATAAACAGTAAAATAACATTTTTCCATGAAGACAAAATATTGATTTCAGTATTATTTAATTGCTTTAGCTTTTCTTGCTATTTGTTTTTAAGTAGTCATCAAACTCCATGGTATGATTTTCACAACTAGGCTAATATTTGTATGTATAGGATATTATTGATGATAAGTTCAAAACACCTAAACACCTTCGATTGTAAATAAATTTCAACACTATTACTTACTTCGAAATCTCCAGTTACAGGGTTCATATCCAGTAAAGAATAATCAGCGTTACGATCACCATTCGCATCAATACGTACAACACCAGTAACGCCTATTTCAGTAAAAAAAACTTAATGACACCTTGATTTCTATGTTTAATCTATCAGAAGAAATAAATAATCCTTTTTAAAGAGTACATAAAATACAAGTCCGTTTGGGTTATAATTGTTAGTTTACCGATCATAATATATGAACTATAGCTTGTATCAAACCATTCATATTCGCTAATAGTATTTTAATATTGTATTCTCCCAGTTAAATGATTCAACTATAGAGCTCCTATTGTCATCCTGAAAGATGTTAGGAGTTAACGCGTGAGATCGAAGGTCTTGGACTCAATTTGCCGTTGCGGGATCGTGGACACCCACTCCTGAAGATTCCCATACTAGGGCGAAGCAGTTGCCCAGTGTCTCCTAGTTTTCAATGATTATCTAGCTTAGAAACGTTCGTGATTTCATTATTTATTATTTCACTAAAGAGGTACAACATTTTAATCCATTGGTAATGCTTTTTACTCAAATCACATATAACATACAATTGAATACAACGAAAAGTTTAATAATGTTAATATATTGAATTGTCAAAGAATAATCTAATCAGTGTAAAAATCGTTCTCTACAACTGTACAAATGTACATGTGATAAACTATAGATCAGTAAATGATTGTATGTTTATTAAAATTTGATTAATTATGATAAATAAACACAGAGCTAATGAAGAAAAAAATTTATGAAACATGAGAAATATGTCATCAACAGAGTGAATACAGTAACTGGGCATTTAAATTGAGATATGTTATACTCTCAGTAGTAAAGTGAAACTTCACGCCATAACTAATCTAATCCTAGAAAATATGCTATTATTATTGTTATATAACTGTGCAGTTTTGAAAATGATCTAATCGTGAAGAATAAATTTTACTGAACAATTTTTTTAATGCTTTATTATTTTATTTTATTCATACTGACTCGAAACCAACCTTTAAATGTTCTATTCCACATTTCTTGTGTAATCAATGTACCATTAGTGATTGTTCCACCTTTGGCTAAAGCATCATTTAAAGCTAAGGCATACAATTTAACAGCATCATGAAATGTTCCAATAAACGGTGTTACCTTTGATAAACAAGGAAGAAAACAAAATGAACTGATAAATATAATTTGAAAATAGTATGAATCATTGATTTGTGATTAAAATTTATTATTTGGTTATTCATATTAAAGTTAGATATCTGATATGTAGATACCACCTAATAATCGGTTTTCCATAGTGGTCTAGCTTCAATTGACTCATGATCTCAACAATTGAAAGTTCAATACATCAAATTCTACGTTATTTATTTTTACTTTCTTTATCGCTCTGGTTTGTTTTACTTGTTCTTTGTTTTGTTGATCAAAATATTTATCTGTCACGTCAACTAGTATGATCAATAGTGAAAATGGAAATTTTATTCGTTTCTTATTTTTGTTTTACTAATCCATTGTGATTACTGATCATTTATTAATAATCTAAACTATGAGTGATATTTTTCACCTAAGAAAAGGAATACACATTCATACATTTACAATAAGGCTGGTTTCATACCTGGTCGTCACACGGCTCAGAATCGATCACTATGACGTATGTGTACACACACTTTGTCTTCCTTTAAACCGTGAGATTAAAATCGCTTCATATCTTTCTTTCTACGAACTAATTGTTTCTTTCTGTACTATCTTCTTACATTCAATCTTTCTTTTATATATCACTACCACCGAATTAACTACTTCTATGAATTTGGTGTTTATCTTGTTGTGCTAATGAGGTATGGCAACTTGGACCGATGCATATATGTATCTGACTGACCAACTAATATATACACACACAAAATCTATAGAATCTTTGGTCATAAAACACGATTAGTAAAAGCATAATACAGGAATGAGCTTGAAAGATCTTTAAAATGACCGTGTGATTTTGTAGCCACTTTTCAGTTCATTAGCAAAGAGTTTGTATAAATCAGGAGTAATTCGCAAAAGAAACAATAAAATTTGTCGCAGTTTAGTAGTTCAAGGTTTATTATCAGCTTTTCAATTGTTTTCTTAATTTTGTAGAAATATCTTTAAGCAACATCACAAATCTGAGTATGAATTGGTTCACTCTGAATCTTACTTGAAGTCATAAATAATTTTAGAAAAAAGTTCATTATTGTCTACAGAATCTGTATTAATTAATTCGCTGAGGAGCTATGTAAATGAGATAATAGGAAAACCATCATCCTTGCCCTATAGATATAAGAAATTCACGCTTAACTATCGCAGCATTCCCACTTCATTAGCTCACTTTTATTCAGCGAACCATTAATAAAATGATTTCCTTGTGAATTTATTGTACACAATACTGTTTTTCAATCTATTCAGTTTAACGATAATAAAACGATACAAACAAGTAAATAAGAGGAATCCATTATATGTACATGAGTTCTTGAAGATATATATATATATATATATATATATATATATATATATATATAACAACGCACAGTGATACATTTTTGATTTAATAATTATACATTTACAGAAGTTAGACTAAATAGGAATGAAATTCAGTCCAAACACTAAGCGACTTAAAATGAAGTAAATCAATATTCAAGGTTCCATAAGAAGGCAGAAGTTGCTTTGTGGATTTTTGTTTTTATTTTCAATCTATCCACAGCTTTTAATTGTTTGTTTATTTCTTTTTTCGAAATATTCAATCATTGTTTATACGAAAGTTTATTTTTGTCCAATTTGAATAGATTGTTTTATTAATTATAATTACAGGGTATTATATTGTACAATAAGATATGTATGCAACAGGTTTTTTTATAAGTAGTAAACTGATTGAGGTGAACACTTGTATTTCATCTTTTGATATTTGCATTGACTAACTATAATTAAAAGTTAGTTAATCACACAGTGCCGATGGTATGCTGAGTTGCCTGTTTTGAATAATTTGTATGAAAGACATTAGAGATGTGTATAGATTTCTACACACATACACACATTTTAGATGTAAATATTTATGTTGCGTTTCACTACTAAACTCGTTCATACGTTCCATTCATAAATTAAACATTTGACGGTAGGTTAATTTTAAGCTATTATATTTATCAAACGGTTAACAGCTTGAAACATTTTAGCACTTAAACTGCACTATCTTTAAAATGCTCCATGTTTGAGTAATTTTTAGATAAAATTGATCAAAAAAGTTATGTCATCCTATCAAACTTGTCAAGATAGGCGGTTCAATATCTTACGACTGGAAGAAGACAACTATCATTTTGTACCACTCGACAATTTCTTATTCTTATAAAGTAGTTCATTTAGTGCAAGACATCGAATGTTGCTAAGAATTTTGAGTTAAACACAATAAATCTGAGGTTTAATTTGAGACTTAAGAGGCAAGGGATAAATTATAAGTGCGTAGAAAAAGTGTTCATGATATAAAGAACCATTTTAAAAGTCAATCTTTTAACAATCCATGTATGACAGGCAATTAATTTAATTGAATTTCACAATTGATTGGACACTAAGTAGTGACCAATGTCATGCGTATTTCAAGTACTTTTTAGTGCTAATTGAATATAATTGAACTAATATTCGTTATGGGATCCTATATAACAACTAGCATTGATAATCCTACACTGAGAGCGGACGACAGAATGTAAGCTATTTATTTTAAAATCAATAGAAAAGTTGGAAACACTACAGTTAGTCCAACAAAAATATGATGAACACACACGTTAATATATGATAAGCAATTTTAACAAATTTATTTAATTTGTTTTGTGTTTCACAAATATATAGATGATATTCATTTAAAATTAAATGTGTGTACATGTGGGTTAAAACGAGAAATTTTCAAATAAACTCTCGTTCAACTTACCTCAGAATCTCGATAACTGAATTCATAATCACGTAAAGCTCTTGCTCTCACTTCTTCTGTAAATGTTCGATATTCAGGACTGTCCGGTTTCAAAAGTGTTACAGTCATAAGAGCACGATAAGCTTGACGTGCTCTTTCGTTTTCTTCTGGACTAGATGTTTCTTTATACCAAGGTCTTTTCAATTTCGTTTGACTGAAAACAACGAGAAAATATATATTGGTGATGAACTAATTAATTAATTAATTAATTAAACATACATTAAAGAGGAAGGTATTTGTAAAATCTCAGCAAATGGATTTACTTTAATGCCTCACATCAACTCGGCGCTCAAATACTGTGAAACTATTCGGCCAAATTTAGACGAAAGTTCTTATGAATTAATTAAACAGTTAAAACAATTAGCAAACCATAATATATGATAGAAATATTCATTTTGACGATAATTAACAGTGAAACCACAATAGATTAAATAAATACGCTTAAAATAATGTAATTCCTATGCTAAGAAAATAGTCGAATTTCAACTTAATTTGTAAAGACAAGTAATATGTCACACAGTATGTTCGCCTTTTTCCGCAAGTATTGTTTTTGCGGAACAGCAATAAAATATTGTTACCTTCATTTTATCCGCTATTATGATATGTTTGAAAAGAGTTTAGCTATATTATGTATCACAGTACAGCAACCGCGGTACTTACAGATAACCAAATAAATCAATTTTACTGTTAATAAAAATTTAAATAGTTGAAATCATGAATCAATTGAAGCTAGACCACCATGGAAAACCTGGAAGCACTGGACGGCCGTTTCGTCCAAGAAATTGGTTCATACGCGATTAGTTCCCTCAGGATACTGGAGCCCATGTGCACTATTGGTTTGGAATCAGGGTTTTACAACTCCCCTAGGTGGACTGTCCATGTCCACCAATCCGGTTACAGTGCCGGACATTCGCTTTTCGTCCTCTCAATTCCGTAAACAACAGCCCCTTCTCACGGTTCATGTTTACAACATAAATTTGGTGCATTAATATCTATTTAAGTATATTTATTTGAATTTAGAATTTACTTTACTGAGAATAATTATTCAGTTATCATTTTATTTGAAACAATTGTAATAATGACAGAAATTAAGCAACAAACAAGTTTGATCCAAATCTCTATTTTCCCTGAATTTTCAAATTTAAGGCAGTAATCATTCCAATGGTTATTTATGTTTGACTAGTGCTTGATGAAAGACTAATAAATTAAAAAATTATTTTAAAAGATCTAATACTTTACAAAGCCTGAGTTTTGTCATTATTTTAGTTGCACAGTTAGGTATTACAGAAGGGATACACCCATCCAAAAGAAAATCAGTAGCTAAGTTTTTATTACTGTAGATTATATTATGTACACAAAATAGTTAGACTTAATGAAAGACAAATAAATATTTTGTTTTTGTAAAAGTACTAATTCTGTGAGAAAATGTGAACACAGTTAACCATGACGTAATAAAAAGGTTATAATACTAGATTACGTAATACGAATAATAACAATAGATTTAGTGAATATAATAAGATGATTAAAATGTTTTTGTTATAATAATTAAAGGTCATAGAGGTGTAAAAAATAAATAAGGTAATATGATGAGTATTTACGAATAAAAACTATGAGAATATAAGACATAAGTAAAGGAGGAATGCAATAACAATAATAATAATCTGCTCACTAGTGACTGACTTCAAGAGATACTCCTGGAGTTCTAGTGAGAAGCCGTGACCAGTGGAGTTCAACCAGGTCTGTTGTGAGATATCAGCTCACTGAAGACAATGGTGACGGTGGCGCAACTTCGTGGATTAGTTGAAGTTAGGCATTAACACCGTTGGATGCCGGCTCAGTGGTCTAGTTGGTTAAGCGCCTGGCGCGAGACTGATAGGTCCTGGGTTCGAATCCCGCGGGGTGCGGGATCGTGGATGCGCACTGCTGAGGAGTCCCATACTAGGACGAAACGGCCGTCCAGTGCTTCCAGGTTTTCCATGGTGGTCTAGCTTCAATTGATTCATGATTTCAACTATTGAAATTACCAATTCTCCACAAAACCCATTCTAGTAATAAAAATTTAATCTGTTCAAAATTGATGTTTAAATATTAAAAACACCAACTAATGGGGTAAGAATAAATCTTAAGAGAATCAATAAAAAAGATAGAGAAGAGTTGTGCCATGAAATAAAAATTACTCATGAGTAATATACTCAGATAACATCACAAATGTTATAGTTCTGTTTAAATTGTATTCACTAATAGGCAAGACCAACAGTAATTTATATTATATTACACAATATTAAGTAATGAGATAGATTATATCATTATTATTCAACAACAAATGCTACTAAAAATATTACATAGAGATCCTCTCAGTTTTATAAAAGTATACGGAGTTGTCATAAGTGATAGCCTCAATAATAATCCTACACTACTGTCAATAGTTAACTTTTCTGATAAATATTTTGCTAAAAACGGTTATTTATCATGTATTTCCAAGAGAATGTTCCCTTTCTCGAACACGCTCTGATAGACAGTCTTGTAGCGCAGAGACGCTGACAAAACAAGGACATCGGAAAATATTCGAATTCTTCACACCTACCATTGAGATCTTCTTTAAGAAATTAAAGTGACATGTCTATATGCATTGAACAGTTTGGTTTTTATAATGTATGATTTGTGATAAACCAGTCGACCGTGAAATTTCGATGGGGAAAAAGAATAATCCTTGGAAACTCACGCGCCTGTACAATCTATAATCCCATCAATATATCTATTTATGAACACTAAGTTTAATTCACAGATATTACTTACATCTTATGATATGAAATAACCACGATACAAGAGAATAATCTACATTTTATCTTGATCTTGAGTTTATTCTATTAGATTAAAAATACATTTTTAATCTCTAGGCATTATTTTCATAATGGTTATCAATCTTTTTCTCGTAAGCATATTTGTAAATAAATTTAAAATGGGAACTAATACGATTTGTATAAAACACAAAACATTTTATGAAAAGAATATTGTTTGTTCTCTGATTTAGAACTGAACAAACCGGTGAATAAACATCTCTTTTTCAAGTAATAGCATTTTAATTGAATCTCATTGTAACACAACTCAGTTTACCACAAGATAATTTAATGTTATTAAAGTGTAAATATGGAAAAAAACGGTAATTTAATTTTTACTGAACTTTTTCTTTTCGTTTTATTCATGAAATTAAAGTTAGATGGAGTGTATGCGTGTGTGTGTATGTGATAAAAATAGATAAATCTAATAGTTATTATATAAATAAAGCAAAGAAAATGTCCATTGATTAGCTGCTTGACAAAAGAAAATGACAAAAACACTTAACTTAATTAACAAACATTGAGTAAATTAATTAATTATTTTTCCTTCTAATAAATAATAACAAGTGATGTAAACAACGAATCACTTAGACAAAAATTCTAATATGATCACAATCCATTTTATGGTAATTTAAATTGATAAATAAATAAATTATTTAATATTGATAATAATGAAAAACATATCACGTTACCAATTGAAATAGTTCAGTATGATTAAAGGACTTAATCAATTATTTAATCAACTTTAAAACGAAATAACTATTCATACAATTAATTTATATCAATAATCCAAGGATCATTTGATTAGAGAATATGTCATTATTACTTATATTACTATTATTATAAATATTACTAATATTGTTATTATCGATAGACCTAGACTTTTCAATACATACTATATTTTTAAAAAATGTAATAAATAATTAGATTGGAAATAATCTATTATAAATGAATGAATAACATGTTGAATATTACAAAATAGATATACAATTATAATACTTATCATTATTCCCAGCGTTAAAGTTTAATTTACTTGTATTTTATTAAATGCAATCCTAATTAATTAATTAATTTTCAGAAAATAATTAGAATTTGTAAGATAACTTTATGAATATCTTGTCGGTTACTGTATCATCAATCCATTTATCTATCTATTTGCTTACGATCAATCAATCAACCAGTGAGCATGTTCGATAATTTTTTTTAATTTATGTACACAACTAGTGAATAATGGCAATCACAATAATTATAAGTTAAACTGTTGATTAAAAGTTATAGATAAATTAAAATATATGTACTTAAATTAAGGGGATATAATAAATCAATAGAGTTTAGAAATAATATTATAATAGAGACATTTGTATAAGTGAAAAAGGAAAAAAACAACTATAGTTTACAATATAAGAAAAATGTCCAAAGAAAATATTGTTCCATTTTACATGATAAGCTTTGTTACTAACAATTAACCTCAACATATAATTACTGGGGTTAAGTTAGAAAGCTACAATAAAAGTTATATTGATTGCTAAAAATATTTACATGCGTGTGTATGTTTGCTTATCTACTACAACCGGTCTAACAAACTATATACCAACTCTTTATTTAAGTAAATGAGAAAATGAGAAAAAAACTCAACCAGAAAACACTACCCACTCTCACATTAATAATGTATTGAAATGAGAATAGAAGGAAGCAACTTATACCACATCCTACCTACTTTCATTTAATACATATAACTATATGTATTTTCTAGTATGAAAATAGACAAAGTAAAAATTCTGATCAATAACACAAACCAACTAACTATAATAACAAGAAATTATTGTTATTATTATTATTATTATCAACTGCATGCAAAAACAAATGCCTCCAGGCAGAATCAATCAAATAATCGATAATATCTTGTCATAAATGAAAAAGCAATCGATTATATTATTTAACAAAGCATTATCAATGTGGATGAAATGTAAACAACTAAAAGAGTTTATGTACATTTGTTTATCTGTCGTTTTATCTGTTTGCTTATGTGTGTTTGTGAGTTAATGTCTGTGAGTATGTGTTATTTGAAATAAGCTTGATATCCTACTTATTGTAATCATAGTAAATAAAATAAAAGAGAAGCACAACAATAAATAACAAATAATGATCATGTCAATACCAATATATCAGTGAAATTATAGAAAATGAATTTGGATAATAACAATAATAATATTGCGTTGATTAATAGTCCTACTTTTCTTTAAAATACATTAGTATATTAGTTGTTATTATCACTGTGCAGAATAACGAGGGAAATTTTAAAACTAGGATGAATATTATCTAAGTTGAATACCATTCGATTTTTTATTGGTTCTGCTTAGTTAACAACCATTTAGTACATGATGAACATTACTAGTTTGATCGAAACAGAAACTTAACACTACGTGAAAGAAAATAAATAATGATTCACATATTTGTGATCTATCATTATTTACTAAGTTATCAACTGCAAATATAGTCTAAATCCAATTTATACACACATACTGAGAGAAAGAGAAAGGATAAAGTTTCTAGTGAGATTTTTTGTAAAATAACCCGTTCGCACTTCTAAATCATCTTACTTTCCAGCCGTCAAAATATTGTAGTAAATTCCGCCGCTTTTGATTTAATTCGACTTAGTTATTGCACACATTTTTATAGAATGCTTTCAATATATCGGGAAAGTAATTGCCGGAAAATTCAAGTGCAACCGACAAGACAGTAGTCGGTATGTTTCCCACCTTATTTATTCTTTAGACAAACAAGAGGTAATTGTACAATTTATTTATCGAATGTTTTATACGATGGAAAGAGAATTGTTATAGGATATGAAATTGATACAAGATATTTGTGCATGAAGATGAGAATTTTTGACATTTTATCTCAATTTTCACAGGTTAAATGAATGTATAAGTCGAGAATTCGACTGAATATTTCACAAATGTCTTTTGAATGAATATTATTTATTGTATTGTAATCAAACATAGGTTAGTATTGACCGAAACAATTAATATGCTATCAACCGTGTCGATGTTTACAGATTACAGATAAGATTTCCTAGAAAACATCGCTCTATATTTTTACAGAGCCCCCAAATGCCCTGTTACGGTCGAGGGTGGTGAGAGTCTGCCCTCCAACTCGAAATGCTCTCACGTGGTCATGCGTATACAACCACTGCTAGCGAAGACTTACTCACTGCCTTCTCATGGCGAGGGTATCGTTAATAACATTGAGAAGACAAAAACCGAATGTCCAGCGCTTTAACCGGATCGGTGGATATGGCGGATCCATCTAGGAGAGTTGGAAAACCCTGATTCCAAACCAATAGTGTACATGGGCTTCAGGATCCTAAGGAAACAAATGGCGTATGAACCTATTGATGGTCACTGGCTGCCATGGGACTGCATCTCCTTATGTTGCTCCACTGCTTTGTGGATTAGACCTTTAGGTCAAAGGCCTGGGGAGTAGCCCCCTAAGAAAACCACCTGCTTCGTTCTGGGCACCCGGGCAGCATCCCAGTCCTCACGCAAATCAGATGACTTATGTGGCGCATATCAATTTGGTGCCTCCTTGTACCACTGTTGATTTGTGTTTAAATAAATAAATATTTCTATAGAATATTTTTATACATTTTGACACTAGAAGTATCGAATGACAGACAATTAAAACCAAATTACATTTTACAACAAGAATTGAATAAATCATGATATTTAGTGTATTCTTTTTTACATTAATTATTTATTGTAAAATGATAATTGTTGGTTTATAATTGTAAACAATGAAAAGGAAATTACTGAAAACTACTGTTCTCCTAAATATTATCGAGTTATATAGGTGCAGTAAAGTAACAATCATCAGGCCGTTGCTCGGAAACAATGCAACATACTACTAACGAAAAAACATATAAACATAGATAATCAGGTGAAGTTGAACAATCCAAATATCAATGGATAATGTGTTAGAATAGTTCAGCTATAGAAAGGAATTTTAATTGTAACAATTATCAGTTAGCGTTCAACACAATTGTTGCAAAACAATAACACTCATTTTCATAGCAAGGATTAAAAAATGACAACATTCCTATGATATTTTAACCAGTTTAATTAATTGCAAAAGGAACCATCATAGTGACCTTTCCTCCCTAATAATTCAGAAATAAAATAAACGAGAGAATTGATCCTTAAAAAACCATGCTAACGAATAATTTCGTTGAGTATATTAAAATAAAATAAACAACTTTTTCTCCACCAAACTGACATTAATTAGGAAACCATCGGAAAAAACTAGTGTTATTGAATGGAATATGTATTCGATCTGTTCTAAAATCTAATCTATCGACTCCTTTCAAAAAACCGAAAATGTAAATTTATTGATGAATACTACAAGAGTACTATATCTAGTAATGCACATCCAGTTAATTTTGTAATCTAACTGCTAAAACTGTTATTTCATGACTCATTTTAAAATCAGGCAAATTTTCTAAAAATTAGAGTAGAATACTATCACTACATGTGAATGAAATAGTAGGAATAAACATATATAATTTATTAGAATATCACTGTTCGATTGTGACACCATAATGGTAAGATCTCAACATAATTTTATTACCACAATGATTCAAGATGTTTATTTAAAGAAAAATAGTCAAGAAATAGCATGAAATAACCATCCAATGTTTAGAAAGCTTTTTTTAGTTACCTCATTTGATATTACTGTTTGTGATAAAAAAATCAAATAATTTATAAAATAATTATTATCCTATGCTAGTTTGTCTGATCTATTGCATATATTTATACAACAAACATAATATTGTCTAAATAAACAATGGTAGATTAGTTAATTTATTATGAAAACAATTGTATGTAAATAAATTTAAGAGAAATGTACACACCTGCTTAAAAGATCCATGTTGAAAAATGCATAATCTCCATTAACCATATTTAATTTATGTGCTTCCAACATAATATCCCGTACAACTTCTGGATCTGTGCATAGTATTATAACTGTAGCAAGGAAAAAAATGAGAAAAATGAACAAATTATTATTTGTGAATTAAGATAGCCAAATACAAAATCTGTCATGGTGCACTCTGTATACAATCCGATATTTTTAACTTGATTTTTTACGAAAAAAACGAGTATTTACTCAGTCTTTCAGGTTAATGGACGTTTACTTGATAACCACATTACTTATGACATATAATTTCAAAGTTTTAGATATATATCGAGTACTTTCATGAGATATGAAAAGTACTTTAATGAACTCAATGATTAACTGAATTTTTTAACCGGTTTTGTATTTTCTTACGTGTTTTTGCTTCTCCGCCTGGAGTCCCTTTCCGGGGGCTACTGCCGGTCCCAAGACCGGATAAAGGAGGAGGGTTGGACATGGGGTTAGCGACCCCATCCCGTAGAAAACTAACTCGCTAAAAAAACGCTAACCAGAAAAAATTATTCAAGCCATTTAAACTCTGCCCTGGGAGTCAGGAGGTCTTCGTTTAGAAGAATTATGACGCCTCATGATGAAAGCCGAGTTTCTTCGGAAGTCACGAGGCCTATGCCCCTTCTAACAACCAGAGCAACCATTTATTTAGGTACATGGAATGCTCGCACAATGTGGGAGACTGGGAGAGTTTTCCAAACTGCTGCAGAAATGAGGAGATACAATTTAGAGGTGCTTGGGATCAGTGAAACACATTCGACGCAAGTTGGACAACAACGACTAGCTTTAGGGGAGCTGCTGTTATACTCCGGACATGAACAAGAAAATGCCCCACATACACAAGGAGTTGCATTGATGCTGTCCAAACAAGCACAAAATGCACTTATAGGATGGGAATCTCATGGACCAAGGATCATCAAAGCCTCCTTCAAAACAAAGAAAACGGGGATTACAATGAACGTCATCCAATGCTACGCGCCTACCAATGACTACAATGAAGACGCTAAAGATCAATTCTACGATAGGATGCAGTCAATCGTCGAGAAGTGCCCAACAAAAGACCTGACCATTCTGATGGGAGACCTAAATGCCAAGGTTGGAATTGACAACACCGGATATGAAGAGATCATGGGACGACACGGACTGGGAGAAAGGAACGAAAATGGTGAGAGATTTGCAAATCTATGTGCCTTCAATAAACTGGTCATAGGCGGCACTATATTCCCACATAAACGCATACACAAAACCACATGGACTTCACCGGATCACACCACACAGAACCAAATCGACCATATCTGCATCAACAAAAAAATCAGGAGGACGATGGAGGACGTGAGAACAAAGAGGGGAGCTGATATAGCATCAGATCATCACTTGCTGGTCACCAAGATGAAATTGAAACTCAGGAGGCACTGGACAACGGGGAGGACAATATCACAAAAGTTTAATACGGGTATTCTTCGGGATAATGACAAACTCAACAAACTCAAGATAACACTCAGCAATAAATTCCAGGCCTTTCATGATCTACTCAATGGAGAAGGAACTACTATGGAGAGCAACTGAAAAGGGATGAAAGAGGCAATCACTTCAACATGTCATGAGGTTCTGGGCCAAAAGAAGCACCATCACATGGATTGGATCACGGTCGATACACTGGATAAGATTCAAGAAAGGAGGAACAAGAAAGCAGCAATCAATACCAGTCGAACAAGAGCAGAAAAAGTCAAGGCACAGGCTGAATACACAGAAGTAAACAAGCAAGTGAAGAGGAGCATCAGAACCGACAAACGTAAATATGTGGAAGATTTAGCAATGACGGCGGAAAAGGCTGCCAGAGAAGGAAACATGAGACAACTGTATGAAACAACAAAGAAACTCTCTGGAAATCACCGTAAACCAGAACGACCAGTGAAAAGCAAGGAAGGCAAGGTAATCACCAACATTGAAGAACAACGAAACAGATGGGTAGAACACTTCAAAGAACTCTTGAATCGTCCAGCCCCACTGAACCCACCCAACATCGAAGCAGCACTCACGGACCTCCCAATTGATGTTGGCGCACCAACAATTGAAGAAATCAGCATGGCTATCAGACAAATCAAGAGTGGCAAAGCAGCAGGACTAGACAGCATTCCAGCAGAGGCACTGAAAGCAGACGTAGCGGCAACTGCAAGGATACTCCAAACTCTCTTCAGAAAGATCTGGGATGAGGAACAGGTACCAAAAGACTGGAAAGAAGGACTTCTAGTCAAAATGCCAAACAAAGGCGATCTCAGCGACTGTGACAACTACAGGGGAATCACTCTTCTCTCAATACCAAGAAAATTCTTCGACAGGGTATTGTTAAACAGGATGAAGGACTCCGTAGACGCCCAACTTCCAGACCACAGGCAGGACTCCGTAAGGATAGATCGTGTACAGACCAAATCGCAACTCTACGGATCATTGTGGAACAATCAATTGAATGGAATTCATCACTCTATATCAACTTCATCGACTACGAAAAAGCATTTGATAGCGTGGACAGAACAACCCTATGGAAGCTTCTTCGACACTACGGCGTGCCTCAGAAGATAGTCAATATCATACAGTTGACAGTTGACAAAGTCGTTCGAAGTAAAGACCGGTGTCAGGCAAGGTTGCTTACTCTCACCCTTTCTCTTTCTCCTAGTGATCGACTGGATCATGAAGACATCAACATCTGAAGGGAAGCACGGGATACAGTGGATAGCTAGGATGCAATTGGATGATCTAGACTTCGCAGATGATCTGGCTCTTCTATCGCACACACAACAACAAATGCAGGAGAAGACAACCAGTGTAGCTGCAGCCTCAGCAGCAATAGGTCTCAATATACACAAAGGGAAAAGCAAGATTCTTCGATACAACACAGCATGTGCCAATCCAATCACAATTGACGGAGAAGCTTTGGAAGATGTAAAAACCTTTACATATTTGGGCAGTATCATCGATGAACACGGTGGATCTGATGCAGATGTGAAGGCACGGATTGGCAAAGCAAGAGCAGCATATTTACAACTGAAGAATATCTGGAACTCAAAACAATTGGCAACCAACACGAAAGTCAGAATTTTCAATACAAATGTCAAGACAGTTCTACTGTATGGGGCGGAAACCCGGAAAACTACGAAATCCATCATCCAAAAGATACAGGTGTTTATTAACAGTTGTCTACGCAAAATACTTCAGATCCGCTGGCCGGACACTATAAGCAACAACCTACTGTGGGAGAGAACATATCAGATTCCAGTGGAGGAAGAAATCAGGAAGAAGCGTTGAAAGTGGATAGGACACACATTGAGGAAAGCACCGAACTGCGTCACAAGACAAGCCCTCATATGGAATCCTCAAGGTCGAAGGAGGAGAGGAAGACCGAAGAATACATTACGCCGGGAAATGGAGATAGATATGAGAAAAATGAACAAGAATTGGATGGAACTAGAAATGAAGGCCCAGGACAGAGTGGGTTGGAGAATGCTGGTCGGCGGCCTATGCTCCATTGGGAGTAACAGGCGTAAATAAGTAAGTAAGTATTTCACCTACTGTATACTACGTTGAAACAAGTAGGTTCAAGTACACTAATTACCTAAATCTTAACTTACGAAACTTCAACACAGATTATTTGATTATTAATTATTAGAAGTACCTTTTTTAAAGAAAACAATATCAGAGATTCTTTCACTCGATTCATATATATATATATATATATATTTAAATTTATCAGCGGATCACGGTACATAAAATATGGAAAAGCTACCATACGAAAACTCTCTACAAAGTCGACTTATCGGATCACTGAGGCGTTCGGCGAAGTGTGGATCACACCAAACAGTTTTATATATAGTAGAATAGTTATTTATTCCATAAAATAATAGGCCTTTGGTTAACACCAAAATATCTGAGTAATGGCATGGTTGACTATCCTTGTAGTGTTGTTTAACTGTAGCTTATAGATCATTAACGTACTCCAAAGACTTTTACCCTAAATCGACAATAAATTATCTCCAAAATTATTTTATCTATACAGGATCAATTGGTTTAACCATACTATTCTTTCTAATTACAGATAATTATATGAACTTTGTATATGAAATGGAATTACCTAATACTATTTAATGGTGTCTTCACGTTTTCCACCAAAAAACATTAGATCCTAAATCCTGCATTCTATAGCTACCAAGAATTTAAAAGTTATTTACAGATCTAAGTATGGTGCGATAGTCTCACTGGATTACTCCGCCTGCATTGATGTTAATTCAATGAACTCTGATCCCTTCTGTAAATTAAATGCGTTCCCGCTTATCAACGCATTACATATTCTAAACGGTAATAATAGCCCTCAGTTAATATCGAACACGAAATTGTTGTGCATCATCGAGCCAATGTGACGTCTTTCATCTTAGACGCAAATGACATGGTATTTATTCCGCGTTATTAGCGTGTTTAGTTTTTTATACACTAAGTATTAAAAACAACTCTATGTTTACAGAATAGACGACTATTCCATAAATAACGTGTTTCAAAAATAATATTGCACTCTAAAACATATTCACCTTTTATTATTCAATTTGGTTGAATCTAAGTCTTATCATTATTATTATTAACATTACATTTTCACAAATAATTTATCCTTATTTTTTATTAACTGTTCCCTCCCTATTTATATAAACTTGATCATATTTATCGATTGATGTGGTTTCGGTGATTGTGTTTCGAACATATGTATACAAATTGAATGAGTTAATTAAATTAAAAGCTCTAAATAATCTATGTTATCTATAGTTTCCTAGTAGTAAAATGACATGATAAAGCTTTACTTATTGATTTACGTCTATATTCCGATGATAATCTAATGCATATAAGGTTCCACTAAGTATTTTATAAAAGAGATTCTCAAATTTATCTTTCTAATTTAACATGGAATAATAATAATAATAATAATAAAATTCTCTAAAGTGAAACTTAAATAGTTGACAGCGACTGCTTTTGAGTCTAAATAAAAATAAATGAGGTAAAACTAAAATAATGATTAAGATAA